TCGATTTTCTCGAAAACTAGGGACTTTTCGGAAATTCTGAGATATACAAATTCTTCCTTGTCGCCTACGGAATCGAACGAATCTAATTATAGCTGGCTAGGACCATTATTAAAGAAAATAGAAAAATAGCCCATTTCGTAGACTAAAAAATTGGCGTCCATCTAGCGGTGAAAGTGGGAACTAATTAAAGTACAGTTTCAAAAGTGTGTAGTTCACCCTGTTCGCTGGAGAGATGGCGCTACTTGCTCGATTTTCGTAAAAAAGGTATTTCTCCTTTCCTGAGTACCATCGACAACCGCTAGGTGGTGCCACCAATCTCTTTTTTTTTTAAGAATATGCGCGCACAAATTCGAATTTTTTAAGATGTATTTAAAAATGTTTAAAAAATAATGCTAGGATAATTCAATTCGTTTAATTTTTTTATTTGCAAAATACGAAATACGATAGAAACGTAATTCAGTTTTCATTTTGATTAGCGCCCTGCTTTAAATTTTGATGAATCATGAGTTTCAAATTTATGTGCGTCACATTCATAAATATTTATAAACTAGTGAGGTGACAGTTTTTAAATTACACTAAGATTATCATAGCAGTACAGCTTCTACCATAAATGTTGCTTCTCCTCATTACTTTAGTTAGTACTTTATGAAGTCCGTAGCCGTTTAACAACGGACGAATATTATATAAATTATACTTTCTCACTGAAATTAAAATTGTATTTTAAACTGTACAACATGTATACGCTGTTCAGTACTTTGCTATAAACACAAATGTATAAAACTTATTAATGGATATATGCTAATATATTTCACTATTACTTATAAATAGACTTTTTTTTATTTCTTTGCCTAGCATTCGATTATCTTGTTTGTTACGCAAGAGAAAAAAGAAATATGGAATATAGTTTGTAAATTTAGAATTATGGTTGCATAAATCTAATAGTATTTAATTATGCACCTAAAGAAATGTTAATACCTGTATCTGTAAAATTTAGTATGCGATCAAAGATCATGTAAATATATATGACTTTGTATATTCAGTTTTGATTTAATGATTTCTCTTTTTACGTGTTGTCTTAAATATCAAAGAACAAGTGTATTCATTGGTCGCTGGAATGAACTTGAACTTTGAGCGATAAAGCGCGATCACAGCGCCGTACGATACTATTTGCTGTAATCCGTGATCACTAACGCAGTGGATAGTATGCTTGATACGTTCTAGCTAAGGAAAGTTCGACGTTCGTAAATCCGAAATATAAGCCAACTTACTACTGGCAATGGAGGTATTTATACGTAAAACGAATATAGAAATCAATACTGAACAATTTTATATAGCAAGCTAGTACGAGTTCAATGTACTTTTTGTATTTTTTAGATTCAAATACTGACCGCTAAGTCATCAAAATTCGTGACCAATGTATCCGTAAGTAACAAACAGAATCAGCTATTAAATTGACGTATATTCATTAATAAATTAAATCACATTGTACGGTTTATAACAAAGATGTATTCTCATTTGAATTTCTAATTAGTTGTTTTTATACAATTAAGTCATAATTTCAGGTAAAACCAACTACAACAATAAGAGAAATTAAAGAAGAATTGTATAAATTAAAGAAAGCACCACAAATTGAAAGACAAAGTTTAAGAGCAGATGCCAAAGGAAAAGCATTATCTGATTCTGAAACTTTAAAAAATTTATCTATTTCTGATGGTGGGAAACTGTATCTAAAAGATCTTGGACCACAAATTAGTTGGAAAACTGTATTTTTAATGGAATATGCAGGTCCATTAGTTTTATATCTATGGATATATAAGCGTCCATGGATTTTTTATGGTGATGCTAGCACATTCACCATTGATAACACGGTTCAGTAAGTTCATGTTATGAATTGAAAACTTATATTTTTTTATGAGAAAACTATGATTAAAACATAATTTCAGTGTGGCAGCTGTCTGTTGGTCAATACATTATGCAAAGCGACTTCTGGAAACATTATTTGTACACCGATTTAGTCATGCAACTATGCCACTGCGCAATCTTTTCAAAAATTGTACATACTATTGGTTATTTGCTATGTATGTAGCATACCATGTGAATCATCCTCTGTATACAGCTCCATGCCAATGTCAATTTATTACTGGTCTAGTAACATTTGCTCTTTGTGAGGCTGGTAATTTGAGTATTCATTTAGCTCTAAGGAACTTGAGACCACCAGGTACTACTGTAAGGAAGATACCTGTACCCACTTCAAATCCTTTTACTATGCTTTTCAATTTTGTATCATGCCCAAATTATACTTATGAAGTTGGTAGCTGGATTGGATTCACTATCATGACTTCATGTCTTCCAGGTAAAATTGTACTTCTTTCTTTATCAAAAACAGAACTTAGTAGCATATATGTTCATATATAAATATATACATAACCATTATATTTTCAGCTGGTCTCTTTACCTTTGCTGGTGCATATCAAATGACTATTTGGGCATTAGGAAAACATAAAGCATATAAGAAAGAATTCTCTAATTACCCAAAAAGTCGAACATCAATTATTCCATTTATTCTTTAAATATTGCGTTAATTTTAATTTTAATTTAGGGATACAATATTGGTAATTGCTATTAAGATACTATTTGTTTTATTTTGTTATTGATTATTCTTTAAATAAATAATTTATAACAGACTTATACTTTATTATTATATATGTATAGTATCCTTTTTGAATATCTTTGTAGTACTAGTTGAATTAGCAGAAAAGCATATTTAAATAGTTGCCTTAATTTCTTGTTCTTCACAAGGTAGTTTACTAATCAGTTTATGCATGTCATCTTTTAGTGCAATTATTATGCTTTGGCATTCTTGCATTTGGGACTTGTATTCATTTTGTAACTTTTCATGATCATAACATGCAGCATCTATTTTTCTTCTTGCTTCAGATGGTTTTATATCTTTTCCTGTTAAGCCTAAAAGACCTTCCATATGCATTATATGTCTTCTTGAATCTTTCAGTTCTTCCCTCAGAGCATTCAGTTCTGCGATCAGTGTAATATTTTCCTCTATAGTTCTATCTACATCCTTACTACTACCCGACGTATCCTGATAAACTTGTTTTTTAAGAGAAGCTATTGTCCTTTCTAAATGGTCTCTCTGTTTTATAAATTCACACTGTGCATCTAAATCTGCTTTACGACTACGTAAGAATTCATCGCTGGAACTGTATTTATGATACAATTTGGTAACTGCAGCTTTCAACGCTTGTGGTTCTTGTACGAGACCCGAAACGTCAAGTAAATCTACTCGTATCTTTTTTACAAATTGTTGGCACCTTTTATTTCGGTGCATTTCATATTGAAGTTCACGTCTCGCGGCTCCCAATTTTTCTCTCAACTCGTGTAGTTGTAATTCTAAACTAACATTAGTCTTATGTAAATTAACAAGTTCCGTTTCCATATCTCGAATCTTTTCCTTAAGTTCTTTGATTTCTTGTTCCCGCGGTTCTATCTGATTTTTTAATTCTGTAATCTTATAATTTAAGACAAACTTGAATTTTTCCAACTCCTGATTTGAGCGTTTTAACTCGTATATCTGATTTTCTCTATCTTGAACCGTGATATCTCTCTCGATTATCTCTTTCCTTAGGTCTTCTTTATCTTTCTCTAGTTCTTGAATAGTTGTTTGGAAATATTTATATTGACTTTGGACTCGTTGCACTTGCCTTTTCAGTTCTTCAATTTCTTTCTGACTAGCAACAAATTTATTACGTATCATCCCAGCTTCTCCTTTCAGTCGTATATTCAACTCTTTTTCTTCCTGTAACTTGCTTTCATAATTTGTTCTCAGTTCCAGTATTTCTTGATCTGCGTCGTCTTCTATTTGTGTCGTCATCTGTTCATGTACCTGTTCCTGATGGGTCATCTCATCTTGAATTTGCTCTAGCTGCAGTTTCTTTTCATAAAGAAGAGCTTCATATTTAACCGTTGCTGCCTGTAATTCGTCGATTCCATGTTTCTCTACTTCTTCCAAACGTTTTTCATAATCTTTACGCATTGCATTCATGCTATTTTCCAGCGCTAAATACTTATCATATTCTGTAATAAGCTTAGCGTCGTAATTCATTTCTACTTGTTTCATCGTTTCTTCGTGCTTTTCCTTCATTTTAACTATTTCCACATTTATCGCATTTAATTCAATCTTATGATTCTCTTGTTGTCTGCTTATGTTATCTCTTAATTCTTCAATAGCTTCGCAATATCCTTGATGAATATCACGCACTTTATCGTTATGCAGGACTTCTATTTGACGCATTTTATATGCGTGCTCTGTTTCCAGCTCTCTCATTCTAACATTCAAGATTTCAATCATTTGTATTTTTTCTTCTAAATCTCCTTTGCTAATTAGCACTTCATTTGTATATGGAAGCTCTTTACCTATTGTCCCTTTTCCTTCAGGATAAAACAGCCTCCAAATACATAAACTACCATCTGCAGCAGTAGATATTAAATATTGTTCATTGTAAGAAAGAGCAATCTGCAAAACATTAAAAGAAGTAATAAAATAACTACATATTTAAAACATATAGCAGTACTTTATATGTCTCTTTACTTTTTACCTTTGTAATATCAGCAGAATGAATATGAAAAGAAGTATAATGTATTGGTTCTTGAAGTGGACATTTCACTGATAAAATAATACCATTAGGGCAAACAAGAAATAGAACTTGATCCTCTTTTCCTAATACCATAGAGTACATGTTTGCATCTGGGAGATTATACTGCCTAACTACCTAATAAAAATAATATCTTATGTCTTAATAATAAAGCTAACAGATATCATAAATAAATTAAACGGAACATTACCGCGCTATCCTTTATTTCACGTATTAAATTATCATCGGTAATACAGTAAGAAACTAATTCATCAACAGAGAAAGCAATATCGTGTAATTTTAGGCCTCTTAAAATTATTTCTGCAGAACGTCGGCCAGTGCTCATATCCCATTGATATATCACACCTTCTGCACCTAATGTCAGCAGTTTTGTATCCGACCTTGACCATAATAAAGTCTTCACTCTATTTATATGTCCTTTTAAAACAAAACAATTAACGTAATCGATGGACGAATAAACTTGTACGATATTTCCGTTAACAGCAGCAAATAAATGTCCCCCGTAACTAAATGATGCAGTCTTACAGCATCTAATAGGAAATTCCTCCATGAGTAGTAAATCATCTATCAGTATGCTCATAAAGCGTAACTTGTCACTGAAACCAATTAAGCAGAAAAGACCTGTAGGGTGTAATGCAATTCCACAAATATCTTCTGCATATTGTTTAAGTAAAGTCAAATTTCCTGATTCAAAATCCCATAATCTTACACTGTTGTCAAGTTCTCCACAGGTCATAAAAATAGATTTCCAAGCACATACTGACAGATTACTTATGGGTCCTTGGTGCAATGGTTGACCCATAATATTTAATTCTTGTGGCTCTGGATCTACATTTAGATCTGGTCCCCATAATCTTGCATAAAATATTTGAGTCCAACCAGTTGTTACTAACAGGCGATCAAAACTTAGATTAACATTCATAGCATTAATTTTATATAAGTCTCGACTGTTGTCTTTAGATATTTGTGGTGGAACTACATAAATATTTCTTTTCACATACTTATGCTGACCATCTCTTTCAAATAATATAATTGTCTTAAAGCCAAATGCAAATGCGAATCCTCTGTGAAAGGCAATTAAACAACTAATATGGTGTTCCCATGAAATATCTTTGCTAACATTCAGTAGTGAACTACTAGCTGGTATTACATATTCTTCTCGAATTTTAAGATTCATAGATACTGTATCTGACATCTTATACATATTTTTTAAGTCACCATGTTCTAAGTAAAAGATTCTACCATCTCTTGTTCCAAGAAATAATCTATCTGAATTCAACCATGCCATTGAACATATAAGTATGTTGTCTGCCTTTGAAAATCCATAGGGACGCCATACAGAGTCAGAAAGTGTCAGAAATTTGAAATTGTATAGTCCTCCAAGTGCAACCACCCCACTATCTGCTGGGTTACAAGCTAATACGTCTACAACAGCCAATAAATTTTGAGGATTCCCTACTGCTATACTGGATTCCACTTTTCCTTTTTCCCAATTGTAATAAAGCATCATTTGATCAGGTTCTCCAGTAACTGCTGCTAAATATTTGCTATCAAAGCTAAACTCCACACATGTGAATTTTGTGACACCAGGAGTGTCAAATGGTATTCCAAGAAGTTTTCTTCTCTTAAGTGTCTGAAGATCATAAATTGCTATTGTAGGTTTCTCCCCAGTTTCACAAATTGCTACATACCTCCTTTATAAAAACAAAAATATTTTGCTTCATTCTACTGTGCATTATACATTAGTAATGTTAAAACTTACTTATTAGGTGCAACTGAAATTATGTTTATTTGTTGCTTATCAGGCAAATATATCAATCTTTGCCGATATTGTGGAATATTGTGTACTGCTATTACATTTCCAGCAGGATACAAAATTTCTGCATCCGTAATATAATGTACATTTGAAATTATATCAGTTTTTAATCCATAAAATATTTTGGTTTGTAAAGAAGTAGTCATTTTGATCTTCTTTTACCGCTTCAATTAAAAGCGTAAAAATAAAGTTTTTTAATTGATAGAAGTGGAACGCATATATATTGTATATATTTAGTTACTATACGCTGTTTATATTTCCGTAGCAACAACTGTAAATACTAAAATTTGTATTTTAAATTTGCAATCTTCGATACCTATTTCGATACTTGTTCATAACTTCTCATCATATGTTGTTCCCAACTACCTTCAGATAATATTATTAGGAGTACATCATGAAATCTTGGACACACATTTTATATACAAAAACCTAACCTCCAAGCAAGTAGTATAGAGATAAAAATTATAACTTATAAAATGTTTGTGCATATATGGTTGTACAATAGCTGATAGTACTTAATTAACAAGCGAATTTTAACAAATTAGGCAATTTCTTATTTTAACATTCAACTTAAATTTAACAAATTCATTTCAATATTGTAAAATAATTAATAAACAATGTCTGAAATGATTGACGAAGACGATTGCAAATCCAACATGCAATCTGCTGATGATTCTAGTTCAGAATGTTGCAAAAATTGTGGATATTTGTGTGATCCGTATAAAAAGCCAGCATTACGTTGTAATGTGTGCTCAAAAAAGATCCATATAGACTGCTTGAAAAGGGGAAGTGTACCAGTATCTTTTGTAGGAGATGTATTTTTTGATTTAAGTTGTGGTCATTGTAGTCCATTTGGAGAAGAAACAGTGACTCGAAACAGAATGCCATGGCTTAATGTAATTGTATTGACATTATATAATTTACGGGAGAAATCAAGTGGTATTAGCAAAAGAGGCTACTTTCATTGGAAATCTGATATCAGTACTTTTGTTGATCGAAATTGGGATTACTTATTTAAAAAGACAGTGTAAGTAATTTAGTTCAAAAGCTTATATTATTTATCTAGTTGTTACATCAATAATGTTTATATTTTTAGTAAAAGAAAGAAAAATTGGATTGGTACAATATCTGGAACCCTTTCTCACTACAGTGGAATTTTCTTTAAATCAGGAACAGTAGAATTAGGAGAATCTGGTTGGTGGAGACTAATAGATAATGATCCACCGGAAGTCCTTATTGCCAAAAGTAATAACTATACAATTATTTTATAAAATAATTATTTTACATATACAATAATTATAGATGGGAAAATGATACTGGACCGTAAAAAACAAATTGGTAACCATATTAAACCAACAAGTAAACTGCATGGTAGTCCAACTCTGTCGGAATCAAGTATTTCAGTTGGGGAAGACAACTGTTACAGTAATAGTTCAACAAAAACTGAAGAGTGTTCTGCATATTCACAAACATACATTCAACCTGATACAACATTTTTTGACTTTTTACTTGAAGAAGATGAACTAACCAGTGTGTACCATATATGGCAAATAAATGTACAAAAATTATTTAACATATAATAACATCAATATCTTATAATTTTAGATATGGAAATAGAAGATGATATAATTTCTAATGAACAAAGTGATACTCCATCTTTGTCAGATTTAATAAGAGATTGCCAATACCAAGCTAACAACTTTCATTTTTCGCAACTACTGGACGAATTTGCACCTGAATGGACATCGAATACCGACGTTTCTGAGAATATTAACTCTATTAAAATGGAACAAGCAAAGGAAGAAGAAGAAGAACAGTATGAAGAAGACAGTAACGACAGTTTAAATTTTGTTCAGGAACAACCACCTGTTTCTTTATTTCGAGTAACGAAACGACGACCGTGGCCCTGGCAAAGAAATCATATAATTGGTAAATGTATTTATTGTTCTGTAAATACTTTTCTGTTATTTATATTTTTACCATTTTTTAATGTTTATATTATAGATGAAAAGATACCGTGTATGACACATCAAGAAGAAGCATACTTATTACAGCAAGTTAATAAGTCTGCTCTTGTCTCAGCACCTCCAGAAATTAGGCGATTTTATCGAAAATTAGCTATCCGAAAACTTAAACGAGAATACGGTTTGCCAATTTTGGATATTGATAAGTTTGGGCAGAAAACAGAAGTTCTTGATAAGCCTTTGAAAGATACCGGTAGAGTTTTGGACCGATTCTTTGGCGATGATCTAGGTTCGTTTGAACAGAGACTGCAAGGATATAATGAGCCCACATCTGTACATAGTCCATATACGAACAGACTTTTGAAGCCATTTATAAGAAGAGATACTTTATGCCGTCCTTTATGGTTAAAAGTAATGGAAGAATTGCGCGCTAAAGTCAATAAATTTAATCCTAAGTGGAAATCACCGCCATTAGCACCCATTGATTATTCTTACGTGAGACCACAACACATTCCCGCAATTAATAGTTTATGCAGTCAATTTTTTTGGCCTGGTATTGATTGTAAGTATCTTTTACTGTTATTTTTATGTTTTTATCAATATACTCTGTTTAAATAAGATTTTGTATTACATCATTGTTTCAGTGACCGAATGTTTGCAGTACCCTGACTTCAGCTGTGTAGTTTTGTACAAAAAATTAGTCATAGGATTTGCAATTTTAGTTCCCGATGTTGGTTACAATGAAGCTTATATTTCATTTTTTTTAACGCGCCCCGAATGGCGCAGATCTGGGATAGGAACATTTATGCTTTATCATCTGATTCAAACGTGTATGGGCAAGGATGTCACCCTACATGTGTCGGCAACCAATCCTGCCTTAATCTTGTATCAAAAATTCGGTTTCAAAGTAGAGGAATTTGTTCAAGACTTCTATGATAAATATATGCCATCGAATTCACGAGAATGTAGGCACGCGCTCTTCTTGCGATTAAGCAGATAAATATGAATCAACTTTGAATGGTACATATATGTATATACGCCTATCAATAATTTAATTAATTGCTATTTGTAGCAAAATAATTTTAATCTTTTGTACAATAAAGAGAAATGTTTCTAAATGTTTATATGCCACAAATTTTTATCAGTAAATTTATTCGCATGTATATACTAGAATATATTTTGAAATACGCAATAGTGTAATGCATTCAATTCAGTGTACACATATATAAGCGACTTCTGTTATACGCGCCGAACTCTCGAGAGCGATGTCACGAGTAATCAGCCGATTAGTAGGTAAATTCTTCCCCTACCATCCCCTACTTTTTCCTTAACCTCGAGAAGCCATCTTTGCATGCGATATATCAATACAGTACATAGCTAAATTCACGTTGTACCAGAACGACACTTTCTTCATTAATTTTCATCTTTCAACGTAAAATATTAAGAAATTATTGTATCTTTTTAAGAAAATATCAAATATTTTATAAATTCGTTTCATTAATTGACACTTATTACTTCTATATAATTATATCGATATTGTGTTTCGTATATCCCGCCCATTATTTCTGTTCACGTTTCGATCTATAACCGAGAGGAGGGGTTACTGACGTCATTGAATAAGAGCTACGGAACTGCCGTCGACCCATTCTCGAAAGTTCCGGAAACCACTAGAACGAAAGTTTGTATATATGGACTGCGCAGCTTACGCGACACTTTAGTACGTAAGAAGAGGTGTTAAATGTTGTTTCGTCTGATCTGTCAGAAGCGAACATTTCATCGATCTACGTAATATCCAAAAGAACTCAGTGAATTTAGTGCCAATTGGATTGTATTGTTTATTGAGTAACAAGAATAATAACGGTAAGTGGTCAAAATGAAAATTTTCAACGATTGTGGTTTCATAGGAATTACAATTCTGTCAGATGTTCGCGGGGAGAAAGATGGGCGACTCAAAACGGGGAGTTGTTCGCGTATGTTCGTCACTTAACTTTAATGATCTACAAATATTTGAGGTAAAAAGATTGGGACAATCATTATGAGTAGGACAGAATTTATTTTTACGCTGCTCGAAGTCGTTGCACGTTTGCAGAAGCGGACATGCTCGTCGCTTGTACGCGCTCATCATTGCCAGAAATAGATATCGGTGAGATCGTACGTGGGTGCGCGTTAGAGAGACATCCATACTTCTTTTCACGAGAATACGTGAAAAAAATGGCAGATCGTTGGCATTATTATATTTAGTATCTTGGTACCGTTGCTCCAACCTGCATCTTAATCTGTGGAAGAATGCGGCACATTGCGTATTTGCCTCCATGAATCTGTGCATTAAAAAATCTTTATCTGATCTAAGATTTTGATCTTTCAAAATTTGAATATTGTTAATTATTCTTCTAATTATAAAACATATACTTAACGTAAATAGTGTTTGAAGTATAATTATTTGAAATTCGAAGCGAACAAAAAAAGATTTGAGTAAAAATTTAGATTCGGAAAGTCTGGACCATTTTTCCGAAAAAAAATTTCAAGAACATTCGACAGACAAAAACCATTCTTTGTTTTGTGACGTTGAGGCGTACTTGAAACTTCAGAAAGAACCACACTTTTATGGTCACGTAGCGCTAAACGTAGTTTCCAAATCGTCGATATGTATACGATTCCCAAAAAATGTAACAGTAATGATGTAATATTGATTTGTTGAAATTACGATCGAAAACAAATGTATAGAAAAAAATGTTATTAATTTGTTAGAGAATAGAGAATAAAAAAATAATATAATTATGTATTTTGTTTATACTGATCTTTATATGTATATATATTTAATAAAAGTGCAGTATATCAATGTTCTTGTTATTTAAAATGTTACAGACCAGTAATCAATGGGGAAGGACTACTACAGGATATTAGGCATAAGTCAAAATGCCAGCGATGACGAAATCAAGAAAGCCTACAGGAAGCTAGCCTTAAAGTATCATCCTGATAAAAACAGAAGTGCCGGTGCAGAAGAGAAATTCAAGGAGATAGCAGAGGCTTATGAAGTACTTTCTGATGCCAAGAAGAGGGAAGTTTATGACAAGTTTGGTGAAGAAGGACTGAAGGGAGGAGCTGGAACAGCAGGAGGTGGTGGCGGTGGCACATCATATGCGTTCCATGGAGATCCAAAAGCGACGTTTGCTCAATTTTTCGGTTCTGCTAGTCCCTTCCAAACCTTCTTCGAATTTGGTGGGCCTATTGGGAACCGAGTATTTAGTTTCCACGATGACGACATGGACATAGATGATATTGGTCTGGGTGTTGGTCCTCATCGTCCAGGCGGTCAAGGGGGTGCATTTAGATCACATTCATTCAACTTTGTAGGCCCCAACTCTGGCAGAGGAGGTGGCAAAGATCGTGCTCAAGATCCTGCTATAGAGCATGACTTGTACATCTCGTTGGAAGAGATTCTACGCGGATGTACAAAAAAAATGAAGATCTCAAGGCGGGTTGTACAACCTGACGGCACTACGAAAAAGGAGGACAAAGTTCTCACGATCAACGTGAAACCTGGATGGAAGGCTGGTACGAAAATCACGTTCCCGAAAGAGGGTGATCAAGGTCGTGGAAAAGTTCCGGCAGATATCGTTTTCATTATTAGGGACAAACCACATCCTCTGTTTAGAAGGGAAGGAAGTGATATACGATACATCTGCAAGATAAGCTTAAAGCAAGCCCTATGTGGTACTATAATCGAAGTTCCTACGCTCACCGGTGAAAAAATTAACCTAAATCTGACGAGAGAAATCGTTAAACCTAATTCGGTCAAGAGGATTCAAGGTCACGGCCTACCATTCCCGAAAGAACCATCAAGGAAAGGTGACCTTTTGGTTTCGTTCGACATCAAATTTCCTGAAACATTATCGCAAAGTGCAAAGGACATACTATATGATACTCTGCCAAATTGAACTGAAAAATGGAAAAAAACTGGATAAATGTCATCACAACGACAGTCCTCTAATCGTCCCAATTGACGAGACTAAACACTCGTGTACGTTCTAGTACATAACGCGTGGTTAGAGAGCTGTGAAAGATATTTGTCAAAAGCGAAGCGAATAATAATTTTATCTCATAGTTAGGAAAATGTGATTTTTCCGTTTAGTCAAACGTGTAAAAAATCAGTTTCTCGATTTGAGTTTAGGCTGGCTTGTTTTCGTTGATATTTGGAACAAAAGAGAATGAAGAATGGAAATAGGTTGTTTAAGTCGTACAGTGAAATGTACATTACCTTGACACGCGGGAAGAAAGATCCTAAATAATGATTAAGATCGAGTATGTTAAGTTATATTGATTTAATAGTAAGAGTTTGTTACAATGTAACTTTGTATGAATGCGATCTGATTATTTTATTCATTCTGTACATTCAGAGTAACTATTATGTACACACGTTGAATGAATGAGTGTGTTTGCGTACGAATGTATGGTTTCTGTAAGTATTGTTTCGATAGCGCAAATGTGTTGACACATCTCGATTCGTATGAAAAGGTAGTTTCTGTGAAAGTATGACAAAACGAGCCACCACCGTAATTGTGTTCAGTCATAAGTTATTTTCATTTATTTAATGTATTCGTAATATACAATTCGATCTTTGTTTCTTGTAAAATATACGTGTACGAAATAAAAGTATACCGGTATTATAAACGTTTGCTTATAAAAATTCTAGGATTTTACTGTTTCTGTTTATTCACAATGATCAGTGGAACGTTTTGTCATACGGAAGCAGACGTGCACATGAACGAAACTATTTGTAATATCGAGCTGATCGTTTTCTTATGTAATGCGTCTTCTTAATTTTAATGGTTGGTTAATTATTTGTACGCTAAAATAATATCGATACAATTAAGTGACACGATCTGTATTTTTATTCGATCCTTTGGTCTCTTCGAGTCGCTCCTACGCTGAATATAACATCGGGACACTCCTAAAATAGACAGCGAAGTAGGTGACGTCATCGTCCTATCTCTCAAGATACTTTCACATATAACTACGTGGCGAACAGTAGAATTTCAGTGTAAATACGCGTGCGTATACTCGTATATAAACTGTATACCCTTCGTTTTGATATACATACGTGTATACATATATGCACATGTATGTATGTATTGGTATACGATTTTGTAGTTTATCGACATATTTATATTTGTACTGTGTACGCGAAGTAAAGGAAGGGTGTAGATAAAAATAGTAATAATAATAATAATAATGAGCAGATAAATAGCAAACAAAAATAAGATACCCCAAAAATATCCTGTCTGTTTTCACTGTACTCTATTGATTTCATTTCAAGAATTGTTTTCAACGTAGACGTTCTACATATTTCTTTATAGTAATTTATAGTTACGATTTTTCACTGAAACGAGTTTAATTGTATCGTGGTATATAAAATATTTCACGTCCATAACGGGGAGGAGTTAACCCATATTTTGATGAGCTCGCGTCCGCCCTAATCCTTATCAAGTTACGTTACTGATTATGCAACTTCCTCCTTCGACTCCATGCCTTCGAAGACCTCTTCCGTGGTTTTCGCGAACTCGACGTAATCTTTATCGATCCACTCGTCCTCATCAGGCGGAAATCCAATACTATGCGACAGAGAGGTCAACAGAGGCAATCCATCCGGTCCTAAGCTGAAATACTTGATAACTTGATCGTCAAGACCAAGTCCTCCGGCATGAGCATTCTGGGGTCCGAAATCTACATCCTCGTCGATTCCTTGCCCGTTTTGCAGCAGTATTTTCTCGAAACGAAAGCTCTCCGGCAAACAGTGATGCTGGCGACAAAAATAATTTTGTCCCTGCTCGGTGTGGCACCATGTCCCATCTGGAAAGTACGGGTCAAGGCCAAGGTCGTTTAATTCTACGCGTGGCGTGTAATAAGATGCTATGTCTTTTCGTCGACAGAATATAGCGCACGCCATCCATGGTCTTTCGGGCTCGTGCGGCGCCTGTAGACCGCCACCCTTGCCGTCCAAATCTGGCAGTCTTTCGCTGAACTCTGTGCATTTCAAAGACGCGAACTCGTTCGCGCTTTTCCGCTTCTTCTTGCACAGTCGATTGTCGTCGCAGAGGACTGTGTCATAATGCAGACCCTGGCACCCGCTTTCGGTGTTCCTCGGGATCGGGTTATTACAGAATCGTTGTCTGGTTTGCGCTCCAGTGGATTTCAAGAGACAAGCGCTTTTGCAAGGTCCTGTTTTCCACTCGCTCCAACCTCCCGGTTGAACGAACGGATCATCCGAACCTGGATGCATCTGCAAGGCGTTCTTGCACTCCCCGCTACGGCATTCTTTACCCGGGGCACAATATGTCCCGTCCAACGCCGGTCCAGCGAAGTAGTAGCCGCTTCTGTGCGGGGTCTTGCATTGCAGGGACTCGCAAGCCTTGTACCACGTGGCGACGCTGGCGTCTTTGTCGCGTAACAGTACTTCGCATTGCTTCTTGGCGTTCCATTCTCTTCCGGGTAGATCGTAGAATCGAGCATGATCCAATCGAGAATCTGTCTGAGCAGTTGGCCTGTCCAAGAGGCACGGTTTCGTGTAAAATAGCTTTTGCGCTACGTCGCGGCTACAGTCCGACCAAACGGTTTCACCGTGCGTGCCTCTGCTCGGGGACATTATGTAGCCGTCCTTCGGACATGCATTATTCGTGGAATCATGGTGCATTCCTAAACTTTATAGAAAAGAGATCGATTTTGGATTTTAGAAAAATATAAGGTAGAATCTCATTGCTCGTTACGACCAATTAAAATTGTATATTAACAAGAACCATGTACTTACTTGTGTCCGATCTCATGCGCGGCAATATATACGGACGTAAATCCCGCAGAAGGAAAAGGTTTCCCAAATTGGTTCGTCGCACCAAACTCAGCGATCACGCAGGAGTACTGATCGATGCATAATCCTCCTACTACTGCGAGTCCCATAGTGGCGCTGTTTTTCCGTCCATCCTCCATGGCATAAAAGTCCAGACCCGAAACATATAGCCCCATGTCCCAGTGATTAGGATAATACTCGTCAGGATTCTTTTTCATCGCGTAATTGCAAAAGGAATCCAGCAGTTGACCTCTTTCACCGTCGTGATGCGGTAGATCTCGTGGCTGTTGCTGCATAATTTCTAGGTGCACCAAGGAGATGTCTATGTTAGCTCCCAAACTTGGATGATGATAAATTGCCTGCACGCCATTTATGTAAGCTAGAAGCATGTCGCGGACTTCCTCGTCGTTTTTGCTAAAAAGGGGCGAAAAGAGTTTATATCCTGCCTCGTCGAAAAACACCGCTAACTCTAAGGATAGAACATCGTTTTCTACGTTGTTCTTGCCAAATTTTTTGAACAGTTCTCTGGGTTCGTCAAGTTCCAGTGTGTTGTCATGCAACCATTCATGGTACTTTGGTTGATCGTGGAAGAACATGGCAGGTCCGAGAGTTCTTTTCACAACGTGGGGCTCTCCTAAGTTTCTTGAACGTTTCCTGATGTAATGACTGTCAAGAAACGACGTATCTTGGGTTTGAAGCGGTGTAATTTCTAACGTGACGTTCTCCAAAAAGACGAGACCATGCTGTGAAATTAAAATGTACTATTTTACCGAGTGTTCTTGATTGTGAACGGTATAGTCCTTGCTATGACGTAGCAAGGTTGTAAATTAAAGCTTCGACGTCAATGCGTACAAGGACTTTCGCGACTTTTAAGGAACTATCTTTTATGAACTGTTATACTAACCACTCCGCTTCTTTTGCAAAGGCTTATCGCCGCGGAACTAAAGTCATCCCGGTGAAGATAATGACACGAGACAGGGTTGCTAAGTTCCGGTAGTTCTTGCACTGTGTCTTCGTCGCTGTGCTTCCAGACTTGAAACTGCGGGGCTACAATTTTGTCGTTTTTGCGCAACATTAAGTCGACCGTTTGATCGAAAGCTTTGAAACTTAAAGGCACCTGTAATTTACGAACCCATTCAACTTTTTGTTACGAGCCTTAATAAGAAGCATCTGGTACGAAAGTTAATCAAGAAAAAAATTAAGTATTTTAATCGTAAGAAAAAAATTGTAATTGGAAAAGCTCAAAATATTTTATAACAATTGATATGTAACGAAATTTCTGTAGAATTGGAAGGATTAAATCACTACCTCTGCGTTGTCTTCCGCGTTCCATAATTGCAACAAAATAACTTCGATGTCCCGACCGTACGCAGCACCGAACAAGATCAGCAACGCGATTTCTAACGCGAAGGCCATATTACACGCTTTGAAATTCAAGTTCAAGTACTTAGAAGAACAACAAACTTGTTCTTTATATATGCATATAGATGCGTGTGGGTGCATACGCGTTGCGAAACCCGTATACCGCGTTTATCTTTACAAAAACATACACAATGCAATATGCATGCTGGCACCTGTATCACAAATGTCATTGACATCGAGATTTGAATGAATCAAGTAATAACAACGGTTTTACATTAGCATATATCGCGCGCAGGAAACGGAATTCATAGAGGGACAGTTTTGTTTCATGAAATAAAAAAAGTGTCGAAGAAAAAGGATCTAATATTTTATGGGTCTATAGTACTCATCCAGAGGAGTAAAAAATGCAGTCAACGTTAAGCTTGAAAATCAATATTTTATAAATCTGACTGCATTGTTTATGGTTGACGAAGTTGTGTTATGAATAGACTATGGATTTTTATGTTATATTGAAATTTGCAGTGTACGGAAATCTGTAATCTAATTATCAGGAAGATACATGTTATGCTTGTGCCAGTTAATAACAATTTTCTAGCCAGACGCGATGCAACCTTATAAATAGAAGATAAATTTGTGTTTCTATTTCATTAATTTATGCCTATCTACTGCTTATAAAATTAAGGGCAAAACTCTTTAGTTAGAAGTTATATTTCTAGTTTTTGAATCTACGACGTTGATTATAATCACTTATTACGCCTCTGGGTTAATGCTGTAAGTCCTTTAAATTTTAGATCCTTTTCTTTTAACATCTTATATACTTATTTCAGTACGACAATATCAGTATCGTGGAACAATTAAAAATTTACTAAATCAAGATAAAAATGTGGTATATTTTAATGCATTATTGATTACTCGATGTACAAAACAGATACTGGTACGAAATATAATCTGTTCAGGTAGAACTTTGTACTTTGTTGCATTATATCTACAAGATTCTGTTTACATCTGCTTGTCGATTCTATAAAATCGTATTACCATAATTTCTATTGTATATGTCTCAACCATTATTCGCTCACGCAACAAATGAACGAATGAGTACTACAAACGTGCTAGCGTTTCCTTTTTTTCAGCTATCGTTTACAAAAAAGTATTGCATAGACAACGATTAACGCATTGAGGCAACATGATTAATAAAATTTCTCTTCCAATAATTCACGCTTAGAAAAACGTATCTACTATTTCATACTCTGCTTCCTTTCGTAATTCCGGTACATTAATTATTTTCACGGTATCTCGCGTGATCCTATAAGATTTCGTAATCCAGATGTTTAAAATGAATCGCAAATGGAAGGTAGGAATGAAAGAGATAATATGCTTGTTACAAAAAACCTTAGTATTAAAATATTTCAATAAAAACAATAAATAATAATTATGATCAATAATAAAATTAATAGAAGATTCGGCAGTGTATGTAACACGCTAAACTTGGCAGATGCCTACATATCGTTATTCATTATATGTATTTAATGTATAAGGGGATTATTAAATAATTCGACAACTAATTACAATAATTATACGGCGAGCGTTTGATTTCCTTTTCCGTTCTTTTTTTTTACAGAATTAACTCACGACACTTTTGCTCGGCTTTTCTCTTTACAACTTTTTGCACTATATACGACACAATGATTAAAAAAAAAAAGAACTTTTTTTTATACATCGCAAACGCACGCATATTTCATCAAGTCGCGTTTTATCTATTTACAAATTGTCTCAAATTTACCAGCGATATCTGTTAAATCCGATCGAACTGCTGGAAAATTTCCTATTCAACACTCGTAGAGAGATTATTATTCTTTGGATATTCTGCACAACTCTTACAAATTCGTGAGTAAATTTGTGCAAACAAAAGAGAGAAAGAAAAAAAGAACGAATTAAATTTAACTTCCAGTTAGTGAAATGACTATTTTTTCGCTGTCTGTCGTCATACAATTCATGAGCAACAGTGAACACTTCGATATGCATCTTCCAGAAACAATCGGAAGATACATGGAGCCGCGTATAAAATTTGCAGCGGATATTTGCTACGAACACACGTAGGTTTTGGTAGCTTCTTTTCTTTTTTGTTTATCAGCTAACGTTCTTTTGTGACATCCATAATACACGATACATCCCTTTACACGACATTTTGCTTTTTCTTCTACTACACTTAACATGTAATAGCGTTGATATAACTAGGATTTTTAATTGGGGTGAGTTAGACCTTTTACACTTTCCATTAATGACCTGTATCAAGTATAAGTGATTTGGAAATCTGAGGATTTTGAAGCTTACAAATTTAGAAAGTTGAATACTTTTAGTTTTTGATAAAAGTTAAACCTGAGGAAGACCAAACTCACCTTTATTTGAACCTAGTTAAATTAATGTGTAATAGACATGTACCATAATTATTACAGATGCACGATTACAAACCGTTTAATAATTGTATTCCTTTCACGGAATATAATCTCTATGGTATCAGCATATATTTCTGAAGGCAAACACATTCTCACCGTACGTCATATATCAAATTGATAATAATTACTCTAAATTTTTTTCACCAAAAAGTGTAATTGCTAATAATATTTAATTGAAATACTTACCGGTGAGTAATGTATAATAGTGTTTTGTTTGTCAACCTTCTCAATATACGTGTGTATACGGTTAAATATTAATTAGATTTTTAATGATCGAAATATAACTTTAATTTCGCGATACATTTAGCCTCGCACTGATCATGTGTTAAATAAATACAATTTCTACTAGTGAAATAAAACGAAACAAAATTTTTCGTTTAATGTCAAACGAGAGATGAAAAATGATGTTTGAATTGATTGCTTGTTTGAATAAAGGTGTAAGTGTAATGTACTGTAATCATTAGCGTAACTGTAATATTTTTCTAAGAAGAAACACGCTTAAATCGTAATTATCCATTGTTATATCCATTGAGAGGGGTCAGGCCGACCCTGGCCTCTAATCAGTTACGCTAATGACTACAACGTTGTACTTGTTTCGACAATGAAGGATTATTTTAACACCACACTACACAACGAATAAAAGAAATAACATGTCTTGCAAGACAAGAAATTAAATATCCATAACTTAAAAAAAAGAGAAAAAGTGCAGACATTTTTCTGCAAACCTAACAACCATAAGAGAATTCGTTTGAAGCTTGATATAGTCGTTTAAAGATGCGGTGTATAAAAAAAGTAAATTAAGATTGTTCGTCATTCGAAGGCCACTGTCCTGAATGATTCCAATCCCAATCCTTGCCCTTAGGACGAAACTTACTGGTGCTCCCAGAGTTGTTCCAATCTCTATGAAAAAACTTCTTCTTAAAATGATGACGCTCCGGATCCGATTGACGTTGATATTTCAGAGGCACCGAGGATGCGCTGCTCGTACTACTGTTGGAGGGATTTGGTGGACGAGGACTGGTCGGTGAAGGCGTACGCGGTGGTCCTAACGCTTCGTCCGGTGAAGGAATCACCGGTGGAGGACCTGTTACAGTACTATCTGATCCTAATCCGCTGTCAGGACTCGTGTTCACTCCCTCTGTCGACCTTCTTCGTTTGTCCAGTTCCGTAGACGCGAATGCAACCAGTCTGTCGAATCCAGAACTGATACGGTCTTGCCAATCTGCCTCTCCATCTGTAAAATAAATTTGCTTTAGTTGTACCGCTTATACACAGTAAGACGGTACAACGAATTTTCATAAAAATAAGCCAATAACCCTTTTCAGCAATCTATTCTTTCTTGTTGATCATTTATGATCTCTTACAAGTATATTCAGGTACATGCTGAAACCATAAGCGTTATTTACAATGTAACAGTTAAGAAATTTGTCAACTATAGTTTGCCTTTATCGATTAAAATGTTCTAAAGATAACTTATAGAATAGTTCAAGGAGTCGTACAAACGCAGTGTAATTCTTTAAATGTACAACACATATATAGTACCTTATAATTAGATTATGGATATTTATGCGTTTCTAGTTATTAAGACCTACATAAGTCATGCGATCTATAGATCGTCGATCCTATAAAATATACATGTGATTTATGTATACTTTACAGACCTTAACATATTATTACATAAACATCCGCAGACTATCTACGATACTTCATTCTTTCTTGTACAATATGTACAAGTATTCAATGAAGATAATACTATATTAATCGCATTTAGTAAATTATTCGATCATGCAAACAAGCATGCACTAAAATTACAAAAGCCCATCAATTAAAGATATAATGTTTCGGTATAAATCTAACATGCTCTTCTTGTTCATTGTATGCACAGGACAGCTGCAAATGTAAAACAGGAGGAATTCCCTTATTCCGAAAGGAATCGAGTCTGGCTTATTTTCATGGAAATACTTTAACTAAATCTTACATCTCCATTAGAAAATACGCACGTTATCTCTACTTGTGGCTAAAAAGCTAGAGTCTATATCTTTGTCAAATGGCTGTGATAACGATAATAAAAAAATTTTGAACAACCCCTGTGGGATAACTCACCAGCAACCACGAACCAACCCACAGGCAGCCGTACTTTTTGATTTCTCCTCTGAACGTGTCTCAATCTCTAATAAAACAAGCTTCAAGGGTTGTGAGTGAGATTGAGTATGTGACAGACAGATCTAACCAACAAACAGCTACAGTGCATCTAACAAATACAGCAAACAACAACAAAAATAAATATAAATAAAGATTAAGTACCAGCTCCATAAGATAAGATAAACCATAGACGATGTTCTTAAACCATTAGTGCAAAAAAACTATTGAAAGATGCATAGCAGAAACTAATACGACAGTGTTTTAAAAGGATAAAGCAGAGTGTTTAGTAAAAGTTTTATATAGTAAAGGTTTAAAAGTGTAATCACGAATAGTGTAAATAAATTATACACCTGCTAAATATAATACAGTAATATATTAATTTAGGTCAACTTGTTGTGTTTTCTAGTCTATCACAAGATTTTTAGTTTTTATTATCAAACGGGATAATAATATAAAAATCAACTTGTGTCTTATTGATATGTTTATATATATATATATACACATATTATATATTTATATATATATATATATATATATATATATATATAATTCTTCTGTATAAACATATTTATAAATATTTAAAAACTTAAAATATCTTTCTTCTTACAGCCAGTTTAGGAAGCATATTTCAGAACTTGAATATGTACATTCCAAAGCATTTCCTACTCGAATACTTCGATAGAACGCATAATTAAAAACAGCTTGAAATCATGAGACATTCCGCTTACCGTCGTCACCGATACCGTTTCGTTGTCTCTGCGTTGTCATTTGGGGTTCATCAACTAGTGGTGTAGATGTATTAGAATGTGGTTCTACAAGGGGACTTAATGGTGCTCCGCTTGTGCTTACTGACGATACAACTGCTTCTGTCTTTACTGACATCGCAGGCTGTGACTGACAAATGGCTGTCACAATACCATTTGTTGTTGCACTGCCATTACTGTTACTACTGGTTGCATACCGTGGATACGGTTGAAATCTATTGCGAAAGTAGTACATGTTAGTAGATAATGATTTTTAAAAATGAGAGACAAAACAATGCAAATGAAATTTTAATACCTTCTACTTGTAGAAAGCATTGGCTCGGTTTTTGTATTATGATTATTCAATATACGAGCATGTAAAGATGCAGCTAATCCTTCTACCGGTAAAAGTTCACCGTTCGACACAGCTTGAGATGAATGCAATGATGGTGGAGGATGATTTTGCGCGAGCGACTGAGGATTGTCGGAGAAATACGATTCGTGATAAGGCTTGATATCTGCGCGAGGTAACTGAACTGGTGTATATCTGAATAAGAAAAGATTATTTAAACTGTAACAAATTTATTCGTAAATTAAAAAATTATTATTTTCGAATTAACGTATACAATACCTCTGCGGTTGCGTAACGGGAGTAAACAATACAGATGATCTTGAAGTAGTGGTAGGAGTACATGTCGAAACTGCTGAAGAAGTTGGAGCGTAACTTGCTACGTGTGCGAGAGTTGACAAACCAGCATCACCCTCGGCACTAGCTGGTCTACTGATAGGAGAATATACAGTCTCCGGCCTTATCATTGCGCTCATATCAACAGCAGCGTTTATTATAGATTGATTAGATATTTCTAAAGTTCTCTCTATTTCTCCGCTAACCAAATCACCGATTGTTCTAGTACCAAGCAATCCATTCCCCCCTGTTACAATACGATTGTCATGACTCGATTGCCTAGAGTCAATTGTTGACCTATCGGATGGTGTTAAGTGTGAAGAAAGACGTTCTTGAGACAAGTGACGGCGAAGAGCTAGTTTTGCAGGTGAAACCTGTAAATGTATAATATATTTTATTTACTTCGTGTATTAAACAAGTACGAGATGTATAATGCGTGTGTACATTATACTTACCTGTGTATAATCAGGAGTAGAAACATTTTGTGGTAAAGCGATACGTTTCCTATCTGGTTCAGTCTGATTTTGTAATTGCACCTGTAGTTGCATTTGTTGTTGTTTATTTCTATTCTGTTGATCTTCGTTCAAAACGCTCGTAATAATACTCTTTAATCTATCTTCAAAATTTGCAACCCTAGGAGGTTCCTGAGTTCTATTTGTTGTTTCTTTATTATTTGCTTGTAATTGTGAAGATGAAATTGACGACGAACTAGTAGAAAAACTAAGAGACGCTTGTGGCAGTCTAGTTCTAGAATTGCTATTCGTATTCGTGTTTTGTCTATTTAATATTCGACCAGCTTCTATTTGTCTGCCTGTTTCTAAAATTTTTTGTGCCAATATTTCTGGATTGTTTTCTTGAATTTTTCCGATATCGGGCACATCTGGCCACTCTTGCGATCTAGAACGTCCTTCTCTGTTTTTCCGTGATGATCCACTTTTTCCATTTTGTTGCTGATGATGATGTTGACTTTGCGAATGTTTCGTGTTCATTGCTTCTCGTTGTTGTTGAGCAATTGCAGCTACTTGTTTTTCATTGCTCGCTCTTTCCAATACATTCAATTCATGTTCCAATTTGGATACCTAAAAATTGATCGAAATTCAAATGATATACTTAAATGTGATGTCTCATAGTATATACTTATAAAGAAAAATAATATTACCTGACAATGTAATCTTTTGCGTTGAGACAATGTTGCGGATATTTCTTTTAATATGTAATCCTGAGTAAGCGGTTGTGGTGGATTTGATATACCGTTTGCATTCGTAAGACTGCTGTATTTCTCTTGCAATTCTTGGTGCCTAAGCGCAGTCAATCTCGACTGTTCACTTTCCATGGATGCAACTTGGGCTTGCAGTTTACTTGCTTTAGCTTGCAATTGTTTATGTCTAAGAACTATTTCCTTAGCTTTTGCAAGTAAATCACCCGGCGATGTTGCATTTATACCTAACTCGGTCATCCGTGCTTTTAGAAGTGCTACGCTATCATCGATTAGTACCTTTATCTGTTTTTCTAATTGCGCCGCTCTAGACTGTAATTTGGAATTTCTTTCTCTTTCTTTTGCAATGTCTGTGTTAACTGATACTCTATACGAAGGAGTTCTCATTGATTCTAACATGAGCATGAATTGGTCCCTGTTGATAAAAACCGATACATAAAAAATTTGTTCGTTTATATATATAACTTAAAATCAGATATATACCTATACAAGTCCAAAAGTATTTGTAAAGCATATGGAGTGGCGGACGGAGCAGGTGGTATACTAAGTTCTTCATGCACAGAGGTGGAATGTGATTGTAAAGAAAGTGACAATGAAGACAGTTGTTGATCCACACAACCAGGCGCGGGTGGTGGTTTCTTTCCCAAAGCTTGAGGGGATGTACTAAGTAACGTTTGGCTATGTAGCAAATCTAGACCCGAAATATTAATTGCTTTCTTCGGTTTAGATTTTTTCACACCTCTTCCCCTCTGTCTGCCTCTAGTTGGAGGCCTTGTAATACCATTAGTTTTTCTATTTAACTTCCTACGAATTTTATTTGGTTGCCGACGATTTTTAATATTATTCTCATCCAAATCTGTATCGCTATTCGTTCCTTGTTGTTCGGAATGATTTGGACTATCTAACTGCCTTGACAAATCTCGTTTAGCTCTATCGCCTCTCTCGTTTCTACTTGTAATCTTATTACTATTGCTGGCAGTGTTATTTATCACAGAATCAGAGTTCTCATCACCACCTTGTTTATTATTCTTTAAACGGTGGAAATAACGTTCTAACTTGGTACGATCGATTACATGTAAATAATAAGACACTGGTTTACCAGTCCAAGATACAGAACCCTTTAATGGTGACATTTCTGACACATGCATTATTGTACCAATATCTATAAATAAAAATCTTTGGTTAGTGAAATTTTTTATGAATGGTGTATAAATTTTTAAAAACGAAATACATTACCGCTAAGATTTCTATCCGTTATGCGAAAATTGAGGGGGCAAAATGACTTTGAGGATACTATACGGGCACCATCTCTTAAATCGGCAAATCGCTCTTTCAACTGATGATCTACCGTTGGACCAAATGCAAAATTATTGACAAATACTATCGTAGCGCCAGTAATGCTTTCCCGATGTTCATCAGCTAAAAAATCGCCTTTTACCAAACGATATTCGCCGCATCTTTTCCCATACCAATTCAACCATTTACGAAAGTTTATTTCCATACTCTAATATTTGACAAAAAAGAAACTTGTAATGCTATTGACTCAAAAACAGTATTACAACTTATCGGAAGAATTATATACCTGTGCATATCTTGAAGGTACATCAGCTCTCTCAACACCAATACAAATTTTACATAAGGTTGCTGCTGCCATTTGGAGAACTACTTGACCAACTCCAGATCCCAAATCAACAAATACATCATCTTCCGTTACATCAATCTGATCAATCATTTGACACACAAGCTCATAACTTGTTTCACCGTACACTTCTGGTGAAAATGGTTCATACTGATTTAATTTATCTGGTTCAACTACCGCCTGATTATACGTTTGTTGAAGTATATGTCTTAATAAACCTCGACTGGGTCTTTTATTTAACCTCTGAGATGGTAAACTAGTGCCCTTTTCCTATATCAGTCAAAAATTATGTGAATTATAGCAATACTAAATGATAACTGAATAAAATTATTCTTTAAAATTAAAGTATATACTTTAAAATTAAAGTATCAACTTACCAACTGAACTAAACTGTCAATTGCTCTATTGAATCTGTCACATAAACTTTTCATACTTTCATAATCTCTTGTGTCATAATTACATAAAATATTGTTTTCTAATGGTAGCTTTAAATCTGGCAAATCCTCACAAACCCACCGCATTGTTTCAACAACATCAAGTGCACCATCGTGTCGATCCTACAATTAATAAAATTCAATTAAATACATACATTCATTTAATAAATATTATTCTAAATTTCATAATATCTTATACATAAAAGCAAACACAATTTTTCCAAAGAAATAAACACTCTTTACTTCAAATTACTTTATTAACATACAATACTTTTAAAACACAAATAACTCTCTCCTAGCTTCAAAAAAAATATTATGAATATGGGCTAATGAAAACTAGAAACATATAAAATGTATATTTAATTTTCTCAAAAGTGATATAGTCCTTAATCCTTATCTTGGCTAATCAAAAATCAATCAATAACATCATAAAATAATTCTGACTGCAACACAATATGCTTTGTTCAATCAAGTCACAACAATAATAAATACTTGATACAAACAAAAATGCAACAGTTGCATCAATAACATTATAGAAACAGCTGACAGTATGTATTATATATAGGGCAACAAAAGTGTTAAATGTACTTTCATATTTACAAATATACCACATTGTAAAATACAGGTTGCAACACAGCAACATCAACAAGTTAAAAATTGGGTTATTAAAATATTTAAAACAGTAGTGACAAATGATACCTATCAAATATTAATTTTTAGAGAATTATTTACTTTTATTTAAAGTTTCTTTTTAGTTACTTTATTTTGTGATAAATTAAATACAAAATATCGAAAAAATAATATAATGCTAAAGTGAAATAAACGTGACAGCCTAATAAAAATAACGGATCAAAGATTTCGCATCGTGTAATAGATGTACAATCAGCTGTGAGAGTATGTGATAAAAGACAGGTGATACACGAGTTTTCAATACGAAATATCACATATATGTTCAAGTCGATAATTTCAAGCGCGCAATTATCAATATTCTCACATTTCCGGATCCGGAGGTAAGGGGCCATTGATAGACGATCGGTTCTGCTCCGGCTGGCGAGTGCAGGCGCAGCTCCATTTTAGCAGGGCCGTCGTCCTCGTCCCCGTCGCCGTCGTCGTCCACTTCTTCAGCAAAGCGTTTCCCCCGAAAGCCTAGTTCAGGATTGCGTGACGTAACCACTTGAATAAACCGTTCGGTGGAGGATCGTGGTCGCTCGTCCTCCCCGCACTAGGACACTACCACCACGTAGACGACGCTCGTGGACCCCCCCCGCTCCGCGGTTACTTCCCCGGACATGAAAAGACACGAAGGGCCACTTTCAGCGACCGTCAACTCACGGGGACAAGCCTCGGCCTTAGAGGTGAGCATTCAATTGCGACGCGACGGTGGAGAGGCCCGGGCAGGCACGCCAGAACGGCCACCAGGAACACGGAACACGAGGTACACAACAGAAAAACACTGACAGACTATTGTGCTGCTCAAGAAACAGCGGTTTGGGGGGGGATGACGACATCAAAACATGGCGTCATGCCTCTTCCTTCTACCGTACCGTGTTCATGCGGCAGCACATCCGGGTGTTCCGCGCCAACTACCTTCACTGCGCATGCGTTCAAGGAACCGTTGAACTTTCGACCGCGGGTACAGTGTCGAGCATAGTAGATTTATCTAGGGGAAAAGACTATGTTGAATAAGAATATACTATTCACTATGGGCCCTTTTTTGTAACCTTTACAAAAATTGAACATTTTTGAGAACTTCGGCAATTTAGAAATTTAGATATTTAAAATTTTGGGAACCTAAGAATTTAAGGATTTGGCAATTTAGGAAATTAGGTATTTGGAAAATTTCAAATTTAAACATTTTTTAATTTAAAACTCGCTGTATCTTTTTTTTCTACGCATACTTTTCCCTAGGGCAAGTTTAAAATGCTCTTGACTGTACAATTTTCTTATTGCACTTTGTATCTTTTGAATAATTTTTTATAAAATTATAAATTTATTTGAAATGACATTTGTTAATTGCCGATACAATTATTACGAATGTTCGAATATAATACCATACTATTTATAATGTGATAATGCGTGCTTAGAATTATAACAATTTTAATAATTATGAAAAAAATGTAATTGCTAATTATATAATAATAAATATCTATCATTTATGATCAATTTCTTTTTGCCAATTATACTCGCTTTACAAGGTCGTTGTGTTGTTCTGTTATATATGTATATATATATATATACATAAAAGCAAAAGTTTTCATATTGATATTTGTAGAAATACAATTATATCTACAGGGTGACCTATTGATAGGACATGGTATTTGTCACGTAGGCAGTCACGTGCAGGAGTCAGCGCCTCTGTAGATAGTGTATAGAACTTAACTTGTATCGTTTTAATTGGTGAAAAATGTGTTCAAAACACCGGATGCACATTTAAAAACATTTTGCATGTACCATGAAATCAAAATAAAGAACTATTTTATATCAATTATTGTTAAAAAACTGCATCGAATGTTTTGTATACGTACAAAAAATATTGGCCGATGTTTTGATTCATCTTACGGGACTTATGCGAACTAAGAAGTACAGTTACCACTGAATGACGTGTTGCGTGTATTTCTTGATTGTAAATTGTAAATATATTGTAACTAGGTTAATTAGATAATATAATAAACGTGTAGCCATGACAGACGAACTGAAGTTAGATCATCGTGCAAAAAAAAGGATCAAAGAGGTTAAAAGAAAAGCTAGACCAGGTAAACGTATTATAACCTAATTCATAACCTATACGTTGACGTGATATGGTCGTCAATTAGTTGTAACAAACAATTCTTCTTCACAACTTATTTTATATTACTAGTATGACTAGAAGTAATTGAGACAACGTTTGTCTTCTTGTGATGCTCGTCATTATAAACAGAATTTGGAAATGTGATACAAGACCGAGCTGTCTTTGCCGACCTTGGATGATGTAACTCCAAATTTACTGAAAGTATTACGATACAGTATAATACAATGCACTTATATGTAATTAGTTTACTAATTCAATCTTTTAATGCGGATAAAATATTCATTGTCACATAGTATCAGTAATACATGTGAACATTAAGTGTTAATAAAACCTGTTACTCATACAAAATAAGTTATTCTTATATTAAAATGTCCTGCTTTCTTTAAGATAATATTTATTTTGCTATTGAGATTGAACATTTTGTTTAGAGCTTGGAGATAAAACCGCTTGGATCCAACATGGCTATAGTAAAAATTTTGAATCATTTTGGAACTTTACGGATAATGTAGATCGTATTGAAGAATCCAAAGTGTCTACAGAAGAGTTTATAGAGAAATATGAGAAACCTTACAAGCCTGTGATAATTCAAGGTGTTCAAAATGGCTGGAAAGCCCAGTACAAGTGGACTATAGAGGTTTGTAATTATCAAATTATATAATTTGTACTTTCAGAAAGCATAATATATTGTTTATAAGCAGTTTGTAATGATTTTATTTTAATATACAGAGGTTAGTCAAAAAATACAGAAATCAAAAATTTAAATGCGGAGAAGATAATGAAGGATATAGTGTAAAAATGAAGATGAAGTACTATGTACGTTATATGCTTAATAATGATGATGATTCGCCTTTGTACATCTTTGATAGTTCCTTTGGTGAACATCCTAGACGTAAAAAATTATTAGAAGATTATGTTATTCCAAAATATTTCCGTGATGACCTTTTTCAATATGCCGGCGAGCACAGGAGACCACCATATCGCTGGTTCGTTATGGGACCTGCAAGATCTGGTAAACACTTTGAAATATGTTATAAACATGTTTATAAGTTTATAGCTTTAAAATATATTATAAATAAATAACGTGAATATAGGTACTGGGATTCATATAGACCCCTTAGGGACCAGTGCCTGGAATGCACTGATTTCTGGACACAAAAGATGGTGCCTCTTTCCTACACACACCCCCAGAGAGCTTCTTAAAGTATCAGCAGCAGAAGGCGGTAAACAAAGAGATGAAGCTATTACTTGGTTTTCTATCATTTATCCTCGTACAAAGTTACCCACGTGGCCACAAGATTGTTTACCAATAGAGATTTTACAAAATCCGGGTGAAACTGTCTTTGTTCCTGGTGGCTGGTGGCATGTTGTATTAAATCTGGATGAAACTATAGCAGTAACTCAAAACTTCTGCTCCCGTACAAATTTTCCAGTAGTGTGGCACAAAACTGTAAGAATTTATGAATTCAACAGAAGAAACAGCATGTATTGTATATTTCTAATTTCAAGGTTTTAAAGATGTTTTAATAAGAAGTACTTTATAGGTGCGAGGAAGACCAAAATTATCACGTAAATGGTTAAAAGTACTCAGGGATAAAGAACCAGAATTGGCATCGCTCGCCGAAACTATAGATGTAAAAGAAGATACAGGTGTAGCTAGCGATTCATCGAGTGGTTCTTCGAGTAGTTCGTCAAGTAGTAGTAGTAGTAGTCAATCAGAAGACAGTGCAGATGATAGTGGTCAAGAATCATTGACAACGCACAAGAAGAAGAAAAGGTATATATTCTGTATTATATTTTATAAATTAAAAAAGAGATCACATTTAATATTGTTTTAATAAATTTATTTTTTATGATTTTAAATATAATTAAGCATAATACTGTTTTCAAATTTTTAGAAGAAAATTAAATAACAGCCAACCCTGACAATATCAAGCATTTGGGACCTACAGAGACCTCAGACTGTACAGTATTAATCAACAATTATTGTTTGTACTAAAAGTAAATATTATAATTATTACCACCTTCATGTTCATAATAAAATAAATGCTAGATAATACCAAATTTGTTCTTATTAAATAAATTCGTTTTAATTCTATACTGAACTGCCTCGCGATAATGCACTTAATTTTTGCTAAATTCCATTTTTAGTATTACATCTTTAGACTTCGTATTTTTCATGTGAAAAATGTATCTATTTATTATTTAAAAGTCATTTATAAATTCACTTTATATTTGACACTTATATTCAATAATATAGGACAAAACATACAAAACTGAAGTTACAAACATTTAAAAAATAAAAACACATTTATACATTCATGTTCACAAAAATAAAATATCAAAACCAACAAGCAATAAGTCAGGTGCATTATCCAATTTTCACATTAATGTTCTATCGTGTTATAAATTAACAAATAAATAAAAAATATTGTAGTCATGAAATAAATACATTATTTTAGGTGCATTGTCATATTAACTTTTCAACGAGTTGCTTCTCTGGAAAGTTCTTGCATCTCTCTTATAGTAGTTCCACAGCTTCACCGTTCCGTCACTTCACGTCGACGTGGTAACCATGCAAAGCACCAAATTGGAGTGTAAACAACATAGAAGCAAAGTAATAAAAAAATAAATTAAAGTCTCATATTCAATAGATTTACAAGATTATCGTTAAAAAATGTTATTTTTTACTACCAATTCATTCAGTCAAACATAGTCATACAATGCATTCATAATCGCAATCATACTAGATTAGTGATGTTTTACTACTAAATCACACAAACAGTATTAAAAAGCAATACTTCATATACATAGCTGGAACAGAAACAAAAGTAATTTAAATAAGAAATAAATACCATCAAAACTTCAAAAATATCATCAAATATTTTTCATGTCGTTTTAAACAGGAAATGTATCAGTCTAACTTGTGATATAAGTAATTTAAAGCGCATTTCCGATTTTCATTAAATCCGAATAACTTTAATGACATTGTATAGTATTTGAAGCATAAAAAAATGAATGTTTTCTATGTTAGTGAAAAATAATTTTGACAATATGCTAAACAGATAAATACATAAATACACTGTTAATTATTAACAATTACTTGTTAAAGAGTTAGAATTTTGTTTAATTACATTACTGTCAGATTTTTATAAGACATGTCCAAACACTCTTGAGTAACAGCCAAAGTGTGTTCAGACAAGCATGCGCATTACCACATCAACAATCTATAAATGCAAAAAAATAATATGCAGCAAAGTAGAAAAATAAGTTAAAGAGAAACTGTGGAAATAGACATGGATAATGAGGAATCGGGAATACGCCACAGCTTGATCTCCCCAGAGCTGCAATCAATATTTAAGACGTTATTCCATCTAAGAAAATTATGACAAATACTGAACCCAAGCACACCTTTCAAACTAATCAAATATTGTATATAATTATTGGTGCAACTAGGATTTTTGTGTGCGGTAAACCAGATCCACTAGCTTTATACCTCTCATGCTACCTGGTCCTGTACCTAGTTTCGCCAAAGTATTCAGTATGCTTCGGATCAGTTGAATGTAAATAATAGCATAAAAAGATGACTTACTTGCTTGCAGTAAAAATGTGTTGTTGATTAGTTATTACAGCATTAATAGCAGAACCATGTGCTCTCACTTCCCCTATTGGGCTACATTCTCCTTGATCCTTTGGTACAGTCCACGCCTTCAAAATTCCACCTCGACAACCTGATATCATTACAGAACCATTGTTTATCATACACAAACCCAAAATCCAATCTTTGTGTGCATTATTCAGAGACTGGACTAATTCCATTCTACTTAGATCCCACCGTTTAATACACATGTCCCTTGAGCCTGTAAAACATCGATTATAAATTAATACAAATTATAATAAAAATTAAGAAGTTTAATTAAATAAATGTTTACCAGAAAACAGTGTAGTGTCACATGTTGCTAAACACTGTACACCGTCATAATGCGGTGGTGCCAGGCTGACCGATTGACCGGATGTATTCGGTTCAACGAGGGATACCAAATGATCTTTACTGCCTGTTATTACTTTACCATCCTCTGCGACGGCCAGACACATTACTGCCGCCGTGTGCGGTGTACTTAATCGTCCAGTACACGTTAATTTACGTAGATCCCATATTCTAACTTTATCGCTGGATGCAGTATATAATTCTTGTTCATCCATGCTTAGTACTAAATCATTTATGGTTGTTTCACCAACGGGAAGTTGTAGCATCCTAGATGGAGTCGACAACGTGATCGGTCCACTCTGTACTTGACCGGATGAATATAAAGTTTTTATACAACTGTTGGCTGCCCTCAAATCCCAAACTTTCACGTAGGCTGAAGAAACGCTGAATAATAAATCATGCAGTGGAGAATATTTCACTGCTACGACGTTATTTGGATGACCAGTCAATGTGAGATTTTCAATTCCTGTTCCTAAATCCCATACTTTCACGGTTCGATCTAGAATAATCGTACATATAATTAACTTTTAATTTAGTGTGATATTAAAATTTATTTAATATCTTTCTACCTTTCGAACCACTAAATAGTAAATCTGAAGTTGCACACATTGTCAAAACAGCTTTACTATGTCCTTCAGCTACGTGAGAACAATGTAAAACCGCTCGTGGTTGTATCTGAAAAATTATGTTTATGTTACAAGAATTTAAGAAAATTTTTGTGCTGCATTAATTTACCTTGCCTTGATATTGAGAAATAATTCCTTTCATAGGCTGCGGGTCTGTTGATGCTGGTTGTCTGCTTGCAGTTAGTCTAGAGAAAACGTTTTCTTCTCGACTGTTGAATCGTCGATACGTGGTTGGTGATCCAGGTGGTGATGACACATCTGTATGTGCTACCTGTTCCCTAGTTGAGGGTTTGTTATGTTAGCGTGTTAGTTAGCTAGGTTCTTGTCAATTCTAATCCAGGCAACTATACTGATTTGAAACAATGTGAATCGTGCAAGTGCATCTCCGTTATAAAAAAAAATTATTCATTAAAATTTCATTAATAGCCAGATTATTAGATGGTAGCAAGTGTATAAACACTAATAATATTAAACTTGACTTAATATGGTATATATAATAAGGTATAATGCATTAATTTTTGTAAACTTAAAATATTTTAATAATCAACAAATGATCAGTGAACAAATTAATTACATTAAAGGTACATCATAATTCATTAAAGAGCATGTTAAAATAATTTTAACAAGAAATCATCCGCCAAGGTCAGCTCACAAATATCGTCATAACTGCACGTTGAATCTTTGTGCTTTTATTTATTAATAAGTATGTATACAAAATAACTGTTTACATATATACAAATTCATGATCTTTACACGAAACAAATATACTTCGTACAGATAGAAATTTTTATCAAATTTATACATGTTTATGTTCCAAAACAATAGAAATATATATGTATATATAAGTATAATACATTAAATATATTAAATTATGATAAATTAAAACAAACTTAATCAAATATCAGTAATAACAATAGTAAACCAAGTATTATTATTATAAACAACTTTATCAAATATTAAAGTTTTAAATGTACTTAATTCAAGTTAGAATTCACTTTGTAATATATAATTTGTACATTAGTAATTTTATTAAATAAATAATTGATACGAACGAAATGAGATGATAGAAATTTGTTGTGCAAATGTAATAAGAAACAATGAAGAAAATAATTGTATAATTAATTAAATAATAAAATATATGCTTCTTTAATACATTCTTTCTTGCGTTTCAGTAATATTCCTTTTGTTTTGCAGTTTCTTTATAAACAATTAATGCATTTGTTTGACTTTTTTAAGAAAAATATTTAGCCAGTAGTGCATGAAACAGTGCATCAAGACAAAGATACGTAAAAAATATAAACATAAAAACGTGCTGCAGGATTATCACTCACATGGAGCCTCCACCTGGATGTAGCGGTCGCCGCAATGGCCTTGGAGATGTACTATCGCGTCGACTTAGAGTCGGAGATCCACCAGCTATACCGCTATGCTGACTTCTTGTTAATACTAAACCTCTAATTGACGGAAATATTTGTTTTACAAAATTGTAAAATTTTATTTAAAAGTTAGTAAAATGTTATACCCACTTTAAACTACCTGGAGCACTAGGTACTCTAGTGAGTGGATGATTATGACTTTGACTTTGATCCTCTGCCTTTAAATTATCCTGACTGGCTTGAACTCCATAAAGAAGTTCTTGGGGTTGCGTAGTTCTCCTTCTCACTTTATTATTACGTTGTTTTTCTTCCCCAATTATAACTTGATTATAATTTTCACTAATATTTCAAATAAAGCAAACATTAGTAATATGATAGCAACTTTATATTAAAAGAAGAAACAAATTAAATGTTACGTACTTTTCCGGCGATGAACTCCTTGAACTTGGAGGACTATAATTCAATGTATTATGATGATTATTTGTAAGAGACAAAAGATCTCTGTCCCGTAATACGTGCTCTAATAATTGATGTTGCACATCACTTTCTTGTGCAACTTGATTTAATCGCGATTCCATATCACGAACTTCAAGTTGTTTTTGAGCGGCTACGCAGCTTTGTTCCACGGTAAATGCTAGCATCCTTTGTAATAAATATTGAGCTTCATCTACTGATTGAATTGTTGATATAAGAGCTTCAACACCAGGTTCACCTTCAGCTTCTCCGTCACCCATTTCTACCATATCACGTTGACATTCCGCAATACTATCCTGTAAAGAACAGTGACAAAAACATGATATTATACATACTGGGAAGTCTCATGTAATGAGACTATATTGCACTAATTAGCACAAAAGAAAATTTACCTGCAGGTAACTGATTTTACTTCTGACATTATCAATTTCTTCGTCGATATCAGCTGTATCTCCTCTTGAACTTGCTATAGCATTTCTGTGTTTCTGAAGCTTTTCTAGTTCCCTACCTAACTCTTCCCGTTCTTGAAGAAGTCTTTCCATTTCTCTCTCCGTTTCTGCAGCTGCCTGTTTAGCCAATGCTTGCTTGGCAATAGTTCTTTCAAACGTTTGCCACCTTTGCTTCAATGCTTTTGGATTGATTGGTTTAGGTGGTGCTCTGCCAGCAACTTTCTGACTGAGACCTCTGTCCCGTTTTCGTAATGCCGATACTTCTTCTTGTTTGCGTCTAAGTACCACTTCCTTCATTCTTTTATCCGCTTCAAGCGTTCGAATCATATTTGCGTTTTTCCTACTTTCTTTTCGCAACTGTGCTATTTCTCTATTTCGTCTCAGTTCATTTTCTTTATGTCTTTGCGCTTCCTCGCGCATTTTATTTAGAAGTTTCACTTTTGCTCTTTTCATCTCTGCTAGTTCATTTCGTAATCCTCTTAATCGGTTTTCATTTTGAGATTGGTTCTTAAGCAACCTTGCATGCTCTTTTTTTGCAGATTTTAAAAGTTGCATTTCCTTTTGCATTGCAGAAAGTTTCTTTTCGTACTCGTCGCGTAATTTTTTTACTTTCTCAGTTGGAGGAGTTGGTTGCTGTTGCAAGGAGTGTAACACCTTGTCTCTTTCTTCCTGAGTATCCTTAATACGAGCTTGTAACTGAGCAAGCTTATCTTCATAATGTTGTTTCATTGTTTGTAAGCGCCGTTGTGAAAGTTCAAGTTCTTGTATTAATCGCTGCTTCACGTCAATATCGGATGTTAACGCTTCTAATTCACGACCCATAGCTTCTTCTTCTTCGTCCTCTTCTGTAAAATATTTTGTTGTTATTTATTTATAAATATTGTTATAAATTTTTTGGCGATACAGATTATAAACATACCTTTTCTATCAGAATCATCATCCGAATCGTCTTCACTTACAGAGTCCTGACCAATTTCTGTATCATCGCCTTCTTCTTCTCCTGTTTTATTCGCAGTACTAGTAGCATGTGCATGTTGTTCTCTCAATGCCGTTAACGCTTCAATTTCTTTTTGTACCTCTTTCTTAGCATCATTTAATATTGACACAGAATCGCTAGGACATATGTATCCAGAATCACCATAAGGATTTGCTGCATTTACCTATATAAATATGATATATGAAAATAATGAAAGACACTTAATGTGTTATTTTTATAACTTATATACTATACCTGTATCTGTCGTTTTTTTAACTGTTGATACATAGCTTCTGCTTCTAAAAGCCGAGCTCTCAATTCTTCTATCTCTTGAACATATCCTTGAACTAAACTTGTTACTTCACTATTTCCACCTGTTGATACCCACTGACCAGCAGCTTTCTCTGCCAGCAGAAGAACATTCTTTGCAGTCAGTGCTTCAACTGTTTCTGAAAGAGCTTTCACTCTTGTACGAAGACTTTGTAGCTCACTATTTAACATTTGATTTTCATGCCAAGCATCATTTACACCATCTTCACCAACAACTCTTTTGCCTATAAGATAGTTATAAATGTTATACATTTTATGTACTTCAGATATAAATTTTTTTCTCTTATTTTATGCTTCAAACATTCACCTTGTCTATATTCCATCAACTCTAACTGAAGTTGCTGTATTTCTCTTCGAAGAGAAGCAATTGTTCTTGAGCTCTTATCTTGATTAACTGTAACTTTGTTTTTGATATTCCTAGCTCTATTCGCATATTTTAGGGTACTCAGAGTTTCCATAAAATCTCTATCACTTGGTGAGACACAAGCTATCATAACAGTTTGACTGTTTCCTCCTAGTGAATCTTGAAGCAATCTAGTTAATTTTGAATCCCTATATGGTACATGTAAAGCTTTTTTTGCTTTGTCTCCAAGTGCAGAAATTACATTACCCAAAGCCAACTATAATAATTGAAAAGAATAATTAACACTAATTAGCACTTTTTTAAATATATCTACAAATCTCAAAAATCCTACCAATCCACAATTTATAGATATTCCCTCCTTTGCTCTATCTCCAGTTGCACCAGTTCTCTTTAGCCTTTCTGAACCAGCTAAATCTACAAAATGAAATTTTGCAGTTAAAGTTTCAAATTCACTTGCAGGCTCTGTGCCACTTGTATCAACATCAGCATCTGGATCTTCAACTTTTATGTATCTCTGTTGCTTTATATGTAACGTGAATATTGCGTGTGATCTTGATGATTGAGTATTCATTTGAGTAGATCCAGTTGTACGTGACAGTGCTCCCAATCGCAAATATTCTAGTGCCTGTTCTGGACTAGTTACAATTCGTGGTTCCACTCCAGCTAAATGAATGTTACCAGAGGTATCTTCATGAATACGAGCACCACCTCTAGGTCCACCAGGTTCTAGTAAATCTTTCAAATCCTCATTGTACAATTCCAAAAACTGAGCAGTAACCTATCACAAAAGTTTTATTAAGCATTAACAATTTTATATATTTTGCTATTAATAAAATGTGCAAACCTTAAATTCTGGAGGCATTTGTGCAGACTCTCTGGCACGTTGCTGTTTCTCTGCAATTCCATTAAATAAATGTCTAATAGCTCTGGGGATAATTCCAACCACATCTTCATCAACTTCTACATCAAATCCAGTGCCCATGGTGTAAGTTTTACCAGATCCAGTCTGGCCATAAGCAAGTACAGTTGCATTATATCCATCTAATGCACCTTCTACTAGGCGTGCAACACACGTTTCATAAATTGTGCATTGCCCAACACAAGTATCAAAAACATAATCATATGTAAAGGCCTTGTCTGGTCCAAGAAAGACCTGGGGTTCTCCTGGAGGTACTTGTGTACATATTCTACACATATCAATTACTTCACGTGCTACCTGAGGCCTTATTCTGTAATTAATAATAACAAATTATAAATATAGATTATTTTCATAATAAATTTTTATATTGATTCGAATTTGTTATTAAATTTAGACGGAAATCTTGTACTGAATGCTAAACATAATATCGCCACGCGTTATATTACCTCGCGGTACAGCGCCACGCGAGGGCCCGAGGTAAATGCCCTGTTTGCTTAGTGTTAACGCGATACTATTTATAATGCAATAGTATGTATTATATCACGATTGCGTTCAAAGTGCCATAATTGACGTTATGTGAATCGATCAGCTGTTACTGTGTACATATATCGTATTCGGAAAACCGCGCACAATGGCGACATAAAAACTACAAAACAAACAATAAAGTAATAAATATGCGACATGGGGAAAGTAAATAAGTAAGGACTGATAAAGCTATGAAAGCTAATAAAGTTTGTTTAATGAGTTATACAGCAACGAAGGGAATGCGGTGGGAGGAGAAAAACTCATTCATCGGAAATCAAGATACACAGTTCTTTATACAACCGGTAATAAAGCCTACGCAACTTATTCTTTAAAAGGAGATATTATGTGATTTAAGTTTGCAATGCGGTACTGCGTAGAATGAGACACCGATGACATTCTAATTGCAAAGCAGCTTGAGAAAAAATCAATAATCAAATTGAAAATATGAAGCCAATAATAAGCAAGAAGAAAACAGTATTTCACAAATAACCCATAATTTTTTAATCGAAAGTTTCATGATAAGTTTCAGAAAAGATATTGTGCAACAACAGATTTCGATAATAAATGGACATTAATGTACGTCATCGTATAAAATAATCATGACATAAATATAAACCCTTTTTTATTTTCTAAAATATATTTTATTTAAAACAATGAGAAAAATCTGCAGTTCATCCGAAATGCGGAACCGCTGTACATAAATTTTCTAAAATCATGAAAGTGTGACTTGAAACAATGACTTTCACGATCCTAAGTATCGAATTCGTAACAAATATATAGATATGATCAAAAAAGGAATAAGGTAGATGCACCGGAATACATACGTATCACAATGTGCATAAATCATGAGAACAATAGAAAATGCGGTAGTCCAAAAAAAATTAAAACTTGTACGCTTTGAATTTAAATGATATTTCGCGCTAATCTTAAAATTATTATTTGACGAATATTATTAGTGTTATAAGATGTCACTGCACAAGTCGTCCTGATAGTTTGCGACAATGTATAGCCATTCAGTAGAAGAGCGTCTTTTAAAAAACTGTTTTGGAAAAGTTTTCTTTTAAAACATTATCATACTCACCGTACAGCGACGCGTACACTCGTGTCATCAGACATTTTCGATGTAAAATATCGTGCAACTTCTTAATATACGAAAACAATAGAACTTCACTGGAGAAATCAACGAGATACTGTTGAGATTAGGCCGAATCTATTAGGCGATGGCTATAATTCTTTGAGATACGTGAATATTCTAAATGCGCACGCGTTACTAGATGCGGTGACCATGAAAATTCCGCATTTTTCGTCGACGACGCGCACACAGGCGATCGTAAAATCCACTCAAACATTTCTCATAATGAAAGAAAATTTCTATCCTAGTCGCGTCGGCCCAAGGACTATACGGATCTTGGACTGAAGTCATACGTGACAGACATCTTTGATTCTTTATGGCACAAAGTAGACACGTGGCAACATCTCCCGACTGTTTTAAGAACTGAGCAAGTCTAATCAATTGAAAATTACCGACTGTCCTTTTATTATTAGGTTTGAAATTTTATTTTCTTCTTTCTATTTTACGTAAAACCAGAACTATAGAGACTGCGGATTTAAGAATCTAGGGATAGTAAGAGAAAACAAGTTTGTTTATGATTAAATTTATATTTTTACATCATGATACATCGTGTAGGACAAATATCTTTCATTCCACGGTATTCTGTCTTTTATGATTAAGTAAGAAAAAATGATTAACTGACCAATGTTTGATAATGATCATGAATTGAATATTTTTTTCCATAAATTTTGTTTAAAAATACAATTTATAAATATTTACAATCTTTATGTCACATTTTAATGTGTGAAAATATTTAATGACGCCACTGCAATGATAAAAACTCTAAACTGATTCCGATACAATTTCTTTGCCCCTAATATTTTGTGCATTAAAAGGTCCACAATTGAAAGAGAGCAAAACATAAAAAAAAAAATAAACTTTCGCTTGATTAATCTTTGGGCATCCTTCATTAAAGTCTCTTTAACAATTAAAATTAAACAATATCCCGATCAGTTTTTTAAGTTTACCGTAATACAATTCACTATGTAAACTTTATAAATAATATTCGTACAAAACACAGTATACTGTTCATACTGACAATACGTTTTAGAGACACGTCCTTACACTTAAATATACGCATTCTGGCATTAAATCTACTGTTGTTTATACGTAAGAAAAATGTACAACCTATGGGAGGTATATAAATTAGAGCTCTAAATTGGGTTTGGAAAAATTTGGGTGAGATCGGTTCAGCAGCACGAAATTATCTTCCTTACTCCGTAAGGATTTGGAAATATGCGAAATTAGAAAAATTTGAACGTAACATGATACTTTTGGTTTACTCAGCACGTTCAAATCTTTCCGAACCCAGTCCGAGCCCGTAATCTCGGGTACCCGCAACATCCCTAATATAAACGAAAAATGAATCGTACACTCTAAGACTCGGATAAAATGTCCTCCAAAGTCTTGTCATCGTGAAGAGGAGAGTGTCCTAATGTAGGATCGCTCTCTAAAAACTCACGAAGTTCAGTTTCCAGATCAGGCACCGCAGATGTTTCTGTTGTACCGAGCAAAGATGGCGGTGTCTGACTGTGAGTCATACCAATCTGTATCTGAATAGGCGATTGATTCGCGTTCACGATACTGATCGGTTGAGTTTGTTGGCTAGTTGGGCTGAGCAGAGTAGCGTTTGGAATCGGTGTAGGAGTTTGCAACAGATTCGTTGGAACTTGATTACTGCTGGCTTGTGACAACAAGTTATTGTCTGCGACGATAGTCGGATTATGCGTGATGGGTTCAACTTCCATAGGCTCTGGACCACCGAGAGGTGCTATACCCATAGCCTTTCGCAAACCTTCTACAGGCGCAATAGCCGAAGGAGGAAGTTTCTTCGCTATTTCTGTTAAATTGTCCGTGATTTTATCAGCTATCGTCACCTCAATTTCTGATGGTTTAGGAACATTCGATAAGTGTGCAGGCGGTGGAGCTGAGAGTCGTTCGTGTTGTACTTGCTTCAAACGATTCAACATCTGAGACGTATCGTCCAAACGACTCTGCAGGGCTGTTCGTTCCTCGCTGAACTTCACGTCTTCTTCTGTAAAAAAAATAAAATTTTATGTACATTGTTCTGAACAATTTTGTTTAGGCGTTATTCTGAAAATGTAGTTACCTAGATTCTCCAAGAAATTCACGTCAATTCCTAACTCTGAAAGCGTCTTCAATTGATCGATGTCAACTTTGACATTTTCCATAGATGGGATATTTCGATTCACATCTTGCATAGGTTTTTCTAACAAATGCTTTATTTTCTCTTCTTCCTCTTTGAGCCTTCGTTTTTCCTCAAGGAACTTTTTGGTTTTCCTGTGATCACCCCCTGTCAAGATATCCAATAAATCGTCGACCATAGTTAACGTATAATCACAGTCTTTAGCAAAATCTAAAATAGATTCCGCGTATTGTACAGCCGTTTCATCTCCATACGTTTGGTACACCAAATCAGTTTCCTCTTTTGTAAGATTGGCAAATGTAGAGTCATAACTTGGGGCATAAGAGCCAAAGGCACCATAGTATAATGGTTTCACTGGTTTAGACATGTTCCTTCTGTCTTCGCGGAATCCTGCTAATGCCCCTGTACCATGACTCAATTTACCTATTAGCTGACCTAACGATACTGGTCTTTGATTAGTTCCTGGAATTACACCGTCACCTGGCACTATTATTTGCAAACTAGTAGTTCCATCTTTCTTTTGCCTAAGGAAACCCATTTTTGAGTTCAACCTTTTGAGCGTTAACTTTTCGGATGCCGCCTTAGCAGCGCCCCGCGCTTGTTTCAAAATTTCCTCCGGAGTCAGATCATCCGGAATAGCTTCGAATTTACCTAAATTTGCTAATCTCATTTTCCTCTGGTTCTCCTTCCTAAGTTCTTCGGCTTCCTCGTTACGCTCCTCCTGTTCTCGTTCCCTTTCTATTTGTTCTTCAGTTACCGGAACATCCGGATTGTTAGGATCCTCTGTGCCTAATTCAAATCCAAGTTCCTCTTTCGAAATATCCTGCATATAAGTTAAAACAGGTCTTAGCTGTCGAAGCTTCTCGGGTGTAACCATTTTTAGGCCGACGTGTAACAATTTTTTAGCTGCCTTGAAATAAATCGTATCCGGGTGGTTATAAGTAGTAGCATTATCACACATTAATTTGAAATCATCTATAAATTCGTTTAAATTTTGATAATTGTTGTCGTCAATCTTTTGTTTTATGGTACTGAAATCCATGGGATTAGTAATGATTTGAGAGTAGCCAGGCGCAATGCTATCTGTGACTGGCCAAGCAAAAAACTGCTGTGGATCACGTTTTTCCATTGACCTAAGAAGATGTTCTAGTAATCGTTGAAGAGGTGTACGCTCGGCAATTTTCCTAAGCACGCAAGTCCGTGGTTCACGGTGTGGAGAAAGAGAGCTAATATGGCTAGTAACACCAATTCTGTGTTCTCCACTAGAAGGGGGTCTTGGAGGTAACAACTGGTGATTAGGAATCTTTTTGGGGACTTCTGCTAAACTTTCATCCGCATCTCCAACCGACTCTTGACTGGACTCTTCTCTTCGCCTTTTCTTATCTTTATGATGATGCTTGTGCCTTTTATCCTTCTTTTTCTTTTTCTTCTTAAGTTTCTTATGCCCCATATACCTATCATATTCAGATTCCTGTGTCACAGAGCAGTTGAGACCCAACTGTTGCTGGTAAACACCTAAATGTTGAGACAACATTGCTGTTTGACTCGGAGATTCGTTGCCGTATTCAGGTGTACCACTACTACCTCCCACCTTTAAAATTAACTTCAAGGTACGGGGTTTATCCGTGATTGTATAGTGGCCTTCTGCTAAAAAAAGAAAGAAAGCAGGAGTTAGAGTACATAAAACAAATCCACAATAGATATAACTACTAAATATGCTTAGAAAAGTCAAAGCATTAAGCTATAAATATACTTTTAAATATCTATCACATGCAATAAAAATCTTGCAGAAAATCATACAAAAGTGCAGAATAACAGATATTGTTGTAATGTAAAAATATGGTGCTAAATGTTGCATTGTATAATCTTGCAGGATTATAAAAAAAAAAACAAATCTTGAATTAATAAAAGTCTACAGGATATTAACAAAAGGGTAAAAGGAAATGTTGACAACAATAATAAAGATGAGTTTATAACAGGACAGTAACCTTGTTTTCACATTCAACAAACTGGAAGCGAGATGGAAGTAGCTTGACTTAAATTAAATAAACCTTGATAGAAGTATGCAATAAAATAATTATCGATACATTAATCGATTGAGTCTGCAGGAATAATCAGGAAGGAGCAACTGTTGAAATCGAAAATACCTCAGAAAGAGGTTAAGCAAAAGCATATATGGCTTTTAATGCCATGATACAAAACAGCCAGGGAACTAAATGATTGAAGCGCAACAGTCATAATGATATTTCAGATGATTTCTATGGCTACATATGATAAAAATAATAATATGTTTGAACATTTAAAGATCTTGTTGCGCTTCAACTAATCTTAACAGACATAAAAAAAAACTGAAAAGGTTTGGGACATCTGAGTAATTTCGGAAGCACAGCTAGTTTCTGTCGTGCAACCAGTCCATGTCCGTTGTTACACGTCACTTACTTCCACGTCGCACCTGTTGCTGTGGAACCTTCGTTTATACTTTTGAATCCACCTCACTTCTACTCCAACCTCACTCTCAGTTTGTCCGTGGTGAAAACGTAGTCAAAATTCCTGTGCATCATTAAACTATGAGTACAAGAAGGATTCCAATGAAAATATTAGAAAATATCAATCGAACAAGATCCTTGCGTGGTGTATTAAAATTCTATCCAAAAACCTGCTCCTTGGAAAAATTTGTACTTAAGAATAGTCTTTTCATTCGAATCCTCGTGCAGTTGACAATGAGAGTCAACACGATAGAATTATATTCAGTGAAATACTTTAATAATAAAGTACAGACAGACATTAAATAGAATCAAACGAAGACAAACAAAATACTCGAAAATCATAAATTTTTTGCTGCTTCCATAAATAAAGAGTTCTAGTAGAAATTATTGTAAGTACTAAAACTGAAAAACTTTGTCCTTTTATCAACAAATATTTTACGTGCCAACTGCTCTATGTATAACTACGAGGTAACACATACAGGGTTTTCTACAAATAGAATTTTTTTCTTGCAACGTGTTTAGGTTAATGTATTCTCAGTTACATTTAATAACAAAAACAGATCAAGTTTTATAAATAATTTGAAGTCAGACAACGATTTTTCCTCTTGAAAAATTTGATTTTTAGTACTCACAGTGTTTTCTACAAGTACCCTTTATATGTACGAATGCGTCCAGAAAGGAAAGCTCTGAAAACAGTATGCAATGAAAACACCTGATAACGTAGCAACGAGCTGTCATCGCGGATATAATTTGATCTGCGAACGTAAAACAAATATCGCGCTAAAGCGACAGTGAAACGCTGTTTGAATTGGAGGCGCGTTGCGAGCTGATTTGGAATACAGTGTGCAGCACGAAGTACAACGACTATTTATGTAAGATGGTACATAATAACGCGACGGCCTGGTGGTGCCAAGATGATATTACGAGACAATTAAAAGTGATGAGAAACGACAATAAAACGATCGAGATACGCCGGATTCGATCCCGGTCCTCACCTTCTTGCCTTTCGCGCTTGTGCTTTTTATGCTTCTTCGAGCCCATGGTTCGCGCGTCGGGCCACAGCCTGGTGGAATATTCTAACGATAAACAGTAAACGCTACGTCGTAAACCACCACGGAACGCGGTTTGTGAGTGTACCGCGCTCCGTTACGTGTGTAGACAATACGGCGGCGGCCATTGAAGACGTCACAGAAGTCCAAGCCGTTATGGTGGATGTACGTCTTTCGTTTCCCCCGCCCGAACGTTCATTCGCCAGCTGCAGCATTATGGCGACGCGTCTTTCGAAAGGGCGCGATTTACGAATTCGTTTAAACACGAATTTATCGATTCCTTTTTTTTTCATCTCATAGATTTTCGAATTATACATTGAAATATATAAAATTTTATAGCAGTGAATATTTTTTATTTAACATTTATTCCTATTTAAAATATGTATTACATGCAAGTATGTCGAAAGAAATTAATGTTTTCGAAAATGGAGCTTTAGAAGTTTGAAAAATAATATATCACAAATTTATGGATCATAAAAAATGACCAATTTCAAAAAAATGTTAGGAAGTCCTGCTTTGTATTATACAAAATCGACTTCTGATTTTATCAAATATCCTTTGCGACGTAAAACATACCCCAATCGAACTTTCTCGACGTCAGAAAGTTAATCGCATAAACGATAATAACCATACCTAAGAATCAATGTCAAAAATGCTAGATGGTCCATGTTTCAAACATCTAATTTGCTGTCGATAGTAATCGAAACTTCGTTGCCAATGTGTCGATGTCAAATGAAGGTACACAAAGCACTAGTTAAGTACATACTCCAACACGCCGTATCACTTTTTCTATAAGCGTAACAGAAGGATTTAATCGAGAATGCAAAACCATGCAATAACAGCCCTGGGAACACTTCGATTCAGCCGGTAGGGCGGAAATTGAATGCAACGAAAAAGCGTTTTATCACAAATCGGATTTCGCTGCAAACAAGATGCACGACGATCACATTAACGAAGTCGTACATATTATACATTTTAACAAGGTCCGAAAGGATCGTTGGTGGCACACAGGGCTGTATTTTTCGACCGCGTCCAGGTGTATCAAGAAGAGCCAGAGTGACACTGTGTATGAAGCTTTAAAGGCGAAAGGCGCTTCCTAACCTACAAAAGATACTTTGAAGTAGCAGCACTTACCGTGCACCGAGCAACGAAACACTCGACCGTATTCACAGGCACGCTTTACCGCACAAGATTGTCCCACTAAACGAGCGGACCACTATGCCGAAATCTTTTTTTCCTTCAAATATCCTGCAACTTACCGCGGCGTCGACGGACCCAGTCGCGATGCAATTAAAGGGGCAACGATCAGCTGTTTCGGTAAAACCGTCGAGCGAGAAAGAGAGGGAGAGAAATGTCTTCCCTCGATGGCTCGTGAAAAAGAAAAAAAGAAAAAAATTCACGTACACTGCAGATGGTGGCGTGTTCTCTGCGTTCCACGATGCCTCGAAAGGCCGTGGTGCGCTCTAGACATGATTCCTGTTTCACTCGCCCCTTTAAACTCCCTTTGCTCGATCAAGACACGCCAAAGCCAGCTTGTCGGCTTTAAGCGCACCGGTGTTGGCTTCACCGTGTTTCATTGTTTTCAAAGCTGTCGTTCGACATCGTTTTGCATATGCATTCGGTGCAACGTAAACTTCTCGCAGAGCGAGGAGGCATTTGCCTCCCATTTTAGAGGAATATGTAAATTTTCAAGTTCGTGTATTTCTGATTTTCCACATTAATAAGTTAACGAATCTGGAGTTGTAAGCATACAATATAAAAATTTGAGCATACAGTCTAGGGAACTGGGGATGAAAGAATCTAGAGATGTAGGAATGTAGACATCTAATAATTTAGAGACATTTCACACATGTTTCATTCTTAGTAATATAAATTTCTCGCACCAAATACAGTCTTAAAATATTTGAGTTGTAATTTTGAAAACAATACAGCACTACATAAAGGCGTTGAATTTGCATTATCAATGGTACGCAAAAATACGCGAATTCAAGGACTTGAACGGATCCCTGCTTCGGCGCGGCGTCTGTATTAAAGCAGCGAGCTCGCCGAATATTTCCATGCATTTGAAATGCTAATGCGGTTTTTTTCGCATTACAAAATGTCTTACGAGCAAACGACACCGGCTTCTGAATCGTTAACGTTCCTTGGGACGAGTTTTGGCGTCTGTGAACTTCTGACGCGCGTCTATTGCTGAATATACACGTACGTTGCATCGAAGCTTACCTTTAACGATGTTTCGTATTGAACCGAGCTACCTGAACGGAAAAATAGCTCGAATATCGGCCGTTGGACAAAGTGGCCCTTTACGGTACACTGCTATGGTTATTACCTCCCGTAGGTACCCAAATGAATTTTTAAGACCCGCCATCTGAGTATCTCTTCAAGACTGAACTTTTAAACCTTAATGTGCCCAATAAAATCCGTTTCTCTTTTGATTCCTTGACTTTGTCCAGTTTTTTACAATCCCATGTAAGACATTGGATAATAAACTTGTCATGTAATACGATTTTTGTATTATTTTCGGTTAGAAAGGAAATATATAATTACAAAGTTTGGTTCTTGTATTAATATTCTTCCTTTTATCGTGTTTGTATATCACACGCGTGTTATCTTTTCGATTGAATAATTTGTCGCAGAAGGTTTATTAAAAACTTAAATTACATAACACGAGAAAAACGACAAATTACACGCAAAAGATAAAAATTGAATACTTTAAAGACGATTAAATACGTAAGTGTTAAAGCGTGTGGTCATGAATCAGCTGATAACCATTCGCACAGTACGTCCGTTTTGAATACGGAGACAGAGATAATCTTATGACGATTCGTTTCGGTTTCATGAATTGTTTTCTTTCCGTCGAACCCTTTCGATGGTAAAATGCGGCGCAGTTGCATGGCGTGGAATTTTCCCGAAGGAAAGGTTTCCGTTTCCTGCTGCCACCTAGAACAGGATATTCGCAACCTGATGAAAACCCTTGATTACTCATCGTACCATAGAAAACGAAATTAATTCGTATTTATACATGCAGTGGAGTGTTTCGTGCAACTGGGTCAAACTGCACTTCTAAAACGGTAGAAAAACGTTTTACTAGGCAAAGTCAAATGGCGTTAAACGGAGCATCACTTGATATGTTGACTTCAGAAGCGGAGGAATTTCAAGGATATCAAGGCCATTTGTACTTAAGATATCAAAGTGTACATTATTCTGCAACAAGCTCTTCTAGTATTTTGCTAAGCTACTATCATCTCATTAGAATCCTGAGAACTTTCCTTATCCCTGGGGTCTCCTAGGGTTCTTTTAAATACTTCTTGGAAAGTATGACTTTTCTAGGATAGCTTATCATAATCTCTTCCTGGATTCTCTAGGGTTTCCCTAATTTCTTTCCTCTCTACTTACTGCTAGCTAAAACGTTACGTTGCATTAAAATATGCTCGGGAGCAGATCTAGGTTCCTCCGAGAAAAGTTCAAGAATTAAAGACGCCTTAAATCCAAAAAGTTAGGAATGAAGGGAATTAAACATTTGAGAAAATGAAAAAATTTAGGAATCCTTAAATTTATAAATTAAAAAATTTTTAGATCCCTGCTTTCATACCTTCCATGTGGCCGAAAACTCCTCCCCCTATTTAGCGAGAGGAACATTACACTCGAATTTACTCAATGCTTCTAACAAGGCTATTCAGCTCCCCCAAATAAAAATTTTAGTTACGCCAATGGCTATAACGCGCGTGCATGTGTACAAATGCATTCACGTGATTTGAATGGAAACACAGATGGCCAAAATCATTCATGGAAGTTGTTATCCACGATTGTTGACGTTCTCGATAACCGTATCGTTATCGGTCAGATAAAAAGAAAGTCCAATTTGTAGTTCGAAGCGGTCGAGCATTTTGTGGCGATCGCACTTGAAGAGATTCCACGGCAATCGATACTCGAGCTCCAACGTCGAGTCCCTTTCAGGGTTTTATGCGAAGAATTTCTGGCAGATGTATACCTGGCGCATACCTGCAAACGTCCATTTGCATTGTAAATGACCCTCGAAATCCGAAACTGCTAATAAAGTTTACTATAGAGAAACATTGACCGCGAAGATCAAAAGCTGACAAGTTTTCCTTTGGTTTTATCGCCTGTCGAAAAAATGCTGAAGCGATAGGAAAGAATGGTGTATGTAGCGAGAGATACGGTCCTGAAAAAGGCCTACATAATGTTGATGCACGCACATGTGGCTTTTGCGTATTGTCTGCGGCAATGACTGTCACTCGTCGATAGTGCGTGCTTCGCAAAAGCTATTATACGGATTAAATAAGTTTAATAAGATTAAGCGGTATTTCCTTAACAATTATCGAACGGAAAATGCACGAGTACGCTATGCTACATTGTGATGATTGCTACCGAAGTTACGATTATGTAACTCATTAATTTATTAGCTTATAGCAGCATTGACGCAAGATTTTTGTCTAAGGGAGGGTCAAGCTTCACTAAAGATGTCAAGTGTCTGTTGCTTAATTAAATAAGATATTTTTTATTCATGTAAAATATAATTAGAACATTATTATGGATTTCGTGCTTAGTTGCATAATACATTATTATAAGAGATTTTAATAAATTTAATCAGTTTATTTGTTAAAAAATTTACAGTCTGTTATAAAATTACCAATGTTTCTCAATATATTCCAGCCAATTATTTCGGCTCAGCTTACAGAATTTACCCTCTATAAGAAGTTCCCCCAGCCATCGATTATTTCTGCAATTGGTTATTTCCCTTCTTCGCCTACGCCGCACTCCACCGTTCGCACAATCGACATCTTCGCGAATCATGACAGACCTTGCCCCACCAACGTATAAACAAACGTTTAACTTCCGAAACTTTACGAACCTACTCAAAGCTTCTGTTTCATTCTTGCATTCATGAGCCATTAGTTCAGTATTCGTCGAGCGATTAAGACCTTTTCGAAGGGTGGCTCCACATCGAGGGTAGTTCACGCGGTCGTTACGGTCCTGGTGAAAGCCGTGCCGTGGATGTACGCACACGTGGGTGTCCCTATCACAACGTACAGTGGTGTAGAATTATAACAAGCAAAAAGTTCTATATATCATTTTTTATATTCAAGATATTTTATTGAATTATTGTAGAAAGTGTGAAGTGTTATTCGAAGGGTATGCTGAAGGTACCTTACATTTTGATAAGGTAATTTTTATATGATAATACAAAAGGGGATTTAATTGCACTGGGACTCATTAACGTTAAACCCTAAAGTAATCTGTTATACATCTAATAACCAACCCTTTAGTACTTGTTCAGGAAAAAATTAAATCGGTGTCTATTATAATTTTGGAGACAACATAACACTTTATTTAGAATACGCTGTACATGTAGGGGCACCAAAATTTCGCATTTAGGGGCGCCTCGCTTCGTCCCTGATATCGATGACAGTAATATTACGAAGATTTTTATCGCCATAATTAACGACCTGTAAGACGAGTAAATGTCCATTGACCGTACGATGAAAGCGGAAATAATTTTGTTGCAGATATAGAAGAGTTACGAAAAGGCAGAAAAAGTAAAAGTTTCGCGATAGCGTGCGGCGCCCATGCTGCCGACTGTCTGGCAGAAGCGTGTCGTATCGTTCGCTGGGCCCCCTGGCGTATATGGGCGTGCACACACGCGTTAGTATCGTGGATGTATATAAAACGGGCGATCGGTTCGGAGCAACGAGTACGTCTGGTGTCGGCGCGGAGTAGCGAACAGAGTGAGTTTTTATTCGAAACGAACAGGCGTCGTTACGCGAACTCCTTAGGATTCGCGACCTCACGTGACGACTGCGACAACCAAAAAGTCGCCGCTGAAGCACGGTGTTATCGTTCGACACTCGCGTTGTACGTCCACTGGAGCGGCTTAGGCGAAGAAAGCGTGGGTTATAGTCGCGAGTGAAAGAGCAACGAGGACGGTCGTGCCGGAGCTTTTGAAAACAAAGACAGACGCGTGACGATATCGTTTTCTCGTGTTTTCGTGTCTTTATCTCGCGTGTTCGGCGGGTCGTTGGCTCCTTCTCTTTCTTTCTTTTGCCTCGTGGTGTGTTGTCGGCAGTAACACACAACGGCAAGTGGAAGCCTGTAGCGTCGCGCCGGCGAATGGAGAACACGTTCGCCAATCGTCGTAAACGAAAGTGCGGATCTTTTCTATTAGACAAGTTCGTTTTCGCGCGGTTCACGGTTAATCGTGGTTAACGAGTGCGCGGTACGAGAAGAGCAGAAAAGAGGAAGAAGGATCGTTGGTGTTCGAGTGGTGGTGTTTGTAAGGATACGAAGGATGGAGCGATTCAGAGTGACGCCGGCTAATAGCACGTCGCAATACGTCCCGCAACAACATTCGTTAGACTATGGTGAGTTGTACTTTCATAACATAACCTACGCAGTTGCATTTACGCGCGAATAGGTGTATATTGGAAACTCATTCTTGCATGGTTTTATGCAATGCCGGTGCTTCGCTCGACGATTCTGGAACATTTTAAAAGTTCTGGAAGTTTTGAGAGTCTCGAAAGTTTCAGAGTCTTAAAAGTCATAAAAGTCTTTAGGTACTAATACCTAAATATTATTTAGATATTACTTAAGATAGGTTTAACTTGAATAAGCTTAGAATCTACCCTAAATGGCACTCGAAGCTACATGGACTTAGCTCTCTCAGATCCCTGTAATCTTTGTCGTTAGTCACGTGTTATCGATCAATCATGTTCTTAGTCGTAAGAATTAATTACATAAGAATATTAGTAAGAATTTGCACAACAATTTATACTTTTAATTATCCACATATGGTCTACCGAATTAAGGGTTTTCGCACGAAGGTCGATCGATCCTCTTCTCTCTCTGTCAGGTAACGTCACGACGCAACGGGCTTCGAGTTGAACTCGATGAAAGTAATCGATCGATTCGTTCTCTATTAAATCTTTTTACCAGGATATTGTTTACCGATTTAATTCCTCCGTTGATTAGATGTCTTATCGTATAGAATATTCACAAAACAATATAGAGATCTATCGATATCGAGGGTAAATCCAGCGGATCGACGGCTTAAAAGAATCGATCGAAATACTTGATCGTCTTAAGCGCATCGAAACTCGTGCTCCGTTTGAGACCATGAAATATTAACGATATTAATCATCCAAGGTCTCCATTATATCGTTACGTATCATATCACCACGCGTTGTATGAAGATATATTCGACAGCATTGAGAAAATCATTGGATAAATGTCGTCGAAGTAACGATGCATATTGGTAATCGATATGGCAACAACCGCAAGTTACGCGTCGCAATTTAACACCACATTCCGTTGAAAGAATATGGCTGCTAGTAATAAATAGATTGGCGGGAGCGTTCAGTGATAAGCGATGATGGATCATGGAAATACTGTAACAAGACTGTAATCGCGAATCTAAATTCTGAATTAGAAATCTGTTTGAAATTCGACAAAGATATTAATTGGTTTAAAAAAGTAGAGAGAAAAATATATGTTTTCGCTCTTAATTAAAATTAGCACCAGTCACGTACGTTCTCACGAAAGTAAATATTTAACGTGGAATCGTGGGTGGTTCCCTCGCATTGGCACGCTTTATAATTCGTTATGAAATACGAAACACTTTTAATAACGTGCCAGTTATTGATCAAACACGAACTTCTTCCGGACAATGAACCCATTCTGGGGAACTTTTCCGGACATAAACAAAAGCAATAATCGCAAATATTAATATTTTATTTTTACGTTCGAAAATAACTGGTATTTATTACATTTCATACATCACTAAAATATGAGCGTTGAACATATGTAACAATAGATTTTCACTTTTAAAAAGAAGCTCTGATTCACAACCTTTTATTATAATTGGCACAAGTTCCATTGGTGCTGTGGACATACACTAAGGAAAAAGTAGAAGCGGCACGAAAATAAAGAAACAATGGAACCTGTAACGACAACGGCGACGAGGAATCCAGGCGAAAAGGCTTGACTTATCTTCGTCTTCGTTGTTGTCGAGCGCTGGTGGATATTCGCAGCACCAGTTCCAAAAATAAAGTATCGAGGTAACACTGCAATTGTCAAGGTCGACTACCTTGGTTCTACCCGAACCACGACGATTTGATTATCGAGTCAGTGATTCTCAACCCTTTTCTCCTGAGAATCCTTTGTCAAAGGAGTCTTTATTTGCCTCAAATTCTAGTATATACATGTAGGCAGTCAAATATAACGAGGAGTAGAGATGACTCTTGGAATCGGTAATATATTAAACTGGCGATCTGTTCTGCTTTGACATTGCAGCAGGCTTTAATTGGCGAAATCGGGGTAATATAACACATGTGCGATACAACGTATGAAAATGTGAACGTGTAACATAAAAAAACAAAACGCAGTAAAATATTCTAGAGCGCGCAACTACGAATGATGTAAAGCGCCACTACCGTGTTTGCGAAAGTGGCAATATAACAAAAGTCCACCCTCTAATACCAATAAACATAAATTCAGTAAGGTTGTAACCTGCTGCATAGTCATTTACCAGTCGATGTTCTCCATTATTTGAGAGCACGACGTAAAGGGTTTCTCTACCTTGCCCTTCGCAAGGGTTGCGGAAAGGGAAGTATTTCCTGTAGTCGCATGAGAACCACTCGAGCCGGTCGAAGGTTGCTGAAGTTCGTCGACGAGAAAGCCAACGGTTTTCAAGGAGGGGTAAACGGGGCAGCTGCATCCCCTGTTACAAAGGCCGAGGCACCGAGGGGTCGATAATCATGCAAATCCCGCTCTACGCGTTGTATTTCGTCTGTGGTCGTTCGCGTGCTCGTAAACCCTTCCCCTCCCTTCGATCTCTTCCTTTTTCAGGTGAACTGTATTATTAACAATAATAGTTTACTATCAATTACTTTTTTACCATTAATGATAGTTCGTAATAGAAATCTTGATTGTTGTTTGAAACAGAATTTTTGAGGCACAAATTATTCAATAGTTTACTGTATACGTTTATGTATCGGGTTTGTGTTACCACGAAGAAATATCTACGCACGACATTCGCCTTGTAATGAGCTCGTTAATTTGAATGGTGTGCGTCGATTGTTCACCCTTAATCAGGACGCAGTGAACACACACGGCTTCGCGCGTCTGCCTCGCAGAGAGCTTTTAATTAGCCGAGCAAATATATCGCTGACGCCGCTAATTATTTCGACTCTGTATACCTAATTCCTGCAGTTCTGTATATCTTTTAATCTTCGCATCAGTGGTGTTTTTTTATTATAGATCAAGCTAATTTACTTTACAAATTAATTTTTAATTCTTAATTAACTTTTCCTACGCTCTGTATTTGAAAAAACACGTCGAGGGTATTTTATTCGGTTCTGAGTGGCGTCAGAGAACATCGTCGTCGACTTAAGCCGCTTTCATCCCTTAAGTCGCGCGACTCAATCGAGGGTCGTTTCCAAGATAGGGGAAAGTAAGATTCGAATTATGCCGGTACATTCATCACGCGAGCGTTTCTCGTGGCTGCAGTCGCATGGTAAATAAAAGCAGTTTCGTGCAATATATCGTATCCTTTGTCCGAGGTGTCGTACGAGAGACGTGGCGTCCTCAGACAAGCGAAACTAGACCGTGTAGCTTCGGGCAAGGGTAGACACCCTTTCTTAGCCGCAGCTTAGTCTACGCGACCTGAAGAACAATTGGAATCCCTGCCTAAACAATTCTCTTCAGGGAAATCCCTGAAGCGATTCGAGGGGCCTAGAAACCGTTTGTTTTCAACCTTTGATCTTAACGCGGTTGTTGTTTAACATCCGAACACGTGTTCTGTCCACGCGTTAACATGTTTACGACGCTATTCAATCGTTTATGCTTCTTTCATAAACACATTAAATTACCAGACTTAATTTTACATTCTAAAAGATTTTCTTTGCATCGATGTAACGATAACCTTTTAAACCGGAGTTTTCATACAATGATAACCTTCCGTCTTGGAGCAATGAAAATTTCAGTAGATATTTTTGGAAGAAATACGCGACGTCGCATACGTAAAATCAAACAGCGAAGCAACCGTGGCATTCGTCGATAATGAGAGAGTTCGTTCGCAACGATGTTTCAAAACATTCTAACAAAAGTTTGTAGAAAAATCATTGAACACCGCAAGATTGATTATTCCACTTCGAGTTCATTAATCTCGCTCCTTGAGAGTACGCGCGATCGAGCGTGTAATTACGATTGGAAAACACCCCAGCGAGCGTTTCAGTGCATCCACCCTTGGGATACTATCGAGTCGCTTTTGAGCGACCGTCCACGATAATTAATTCGAACTTTGTTCGCTCGCTAGCGAGGCGAAATTAGAACGTGTATCGCGAACGGTTCACGACCACCCTTACCGTTTAATCCGAAACCTGCAACCTCGATAATCCCAACGTGTTCACGGTTAGCCACTTTGTTTGCGTCCCCCGGGAGGTAGACCCCCGTTTTCTCTTCGCTTTTCGTTCTACTTGTACCTAACACTTTATGAACGTTCAATCGTTTCGGGTTATTTCGGAAAATTTTCAACATCCTTCTATCATACCTCTTAGATACTTGAACTTCAGAGGAAAGGAATTTCTGATAACGTAATAGCGGTTATCGCTAAAATCTTTTTAAATATGCTAATTACAATTCTGGCTTCCCTTTAATACATAATATTATGTAGGTCACGTAACACGTTGTTATAATAAAAATCACAGATAACAGAAATGGTAGGAAGAAATACTGAGAAGTGGTAATGCTGAACGTACCGAAATGCTAAACGCAGACATACGATCCGCTTCCGATTTAATTCGCGAATCGACATCGAATGAAGATTTAAGCGTTTAGGATTTACTTAGGAAATTTGCCACGTTATAGCGTCTTGCGTAAGTGCGAGCGCAGAGGAAGAGGAGAACGCGTACGCAACACCCAAGCAAGCGCTAACAATTATTTTATTATTGGCCCAATTACGCCGTTATTGTTTTCACACACGCGCGACGTATCACTTAAAGCGGTTTGAGGCGGCTTCCACTATTGTCAGGGTGATTCAACCGTCTGGATTTTGCGCTTATATGGCGACGCCTTCGGTCGCTCATCGTCACTTTCAATGTTGGACATGTATACTCGTGATCATGGTCGCTTTTCTTAAGAATGATGGCTTCATTCTGAACGAACAAGAATCCGTATCTTCTCTAGGGAAAATTAGCACGCTGGTTGTTCCATCTTCTCTAGGGATGATACCCTCATTCGATAGAATACCCGAGGGTTATCGCGCCTTTTTTAGCGGAAGAGGGCCATAATACGTCAGAATTACCACGTCATTTTGTTTGGGAAAAAGGACCTCGTCAATCATCGTGCTATTAAAAGACGAATGTTTTTTCTCGTTATGGAAGAAGAGCTAAAAATGTCGAAATGTTAATGGACCCCTCGTTGAAGACTGATCGTTTCCCACGTTCGTTCGTGTACAAATAAATCGATGAATAAAGGCTTCAAAGCGAGCCGCCTGCACGGTTACGCGGGTGGTCAAGAGCATACCGATTAATCGAGAGGTCGGAGGTCAATGAACACCGCGTTTCCAGAGTTTGCGACCTTCTTCGCCCCACCGGTCATCAGGCTTTCCGTCTTCTGCACTGAACACACTGCCCGATCCAACGTTACGCTTTACGTCATTTTCATATTACTCCATTTTCCACGATTTCTACCCGTCAGTTATACGCCCAGCGGATTGTAGCGACAGCTTTATTTCTATCTTTAGAAATTTAGTTTTAGTTTATCGTACTATTTTTGAAATTATAATATATAGACGGATGTAGGAATTTATGAATAGACGTCTCGATATAAAAGTGATTTATTTTTCAACTTCAAGCCGCAACCTTTTAGCTTCAACTTTTCCGTAAGTTCGATACATTGGAAGCCGTCCGGATGGCAGTTAAACGATTTCAACTGGAAACGTAGAGACAGATGGCAATTCGCGCGACAGCTGCCCACGGTCCTCTTCTCTCTTCCCGTATCTTTGGCCGGATATAAAATTTATTTTTAAGATTGTCCGTCGCGCTCGATGGACGCGGACTGGAACGGGAGAAAAGCAGCGGCATGCCAGTTGGCGTAATTCAGATATTAATACATCAGGCGTCTGCCTGGACACCAGCACGGGTTGCTTCTCCTCGAGAATTCGTGACGTATCCCAGGGAATAAATGTCAATTGACACGCGGGGTCCTCGGTGGAACGATCTTTCCCACAGCTATCCACTTGGCGATACCATGTGCCGCGCCACGAGCCAGCCTCTCCTTTACCGCTCTTATTCGCTACAACGATTCATGAATGAATACATCTTGCCCTCCTCTCGAATTTTCGTACTCCATCGAAACGGTTCGCTCGTTATGATTTATACGCGTCGAGCACCGTTTTTTATCGCCTTCTGCAAGATGGTGCTTCGGAATATTGCCAGTTCTTGAGATATGGAGGTTGCCGAGGTCTGAACATTTTTCTCCGCCGATTCTGCTACGATCACCGATGATCACGGTTCTGGTGTGACGATAATTATTCCCGAGTAAAACGCTATGAAACCGTTAAAAGGTGTTGAGCGAAGTAGCGTGAATTTCCGAGGAAAATAACGCTTTCTCGTCGCCTTTTCTGAATCCGCATAGAATTTGAGGAAAAACGGGAGACCGTTCGAAACTCCAGTTAGCGGTGTTCCCGGGCGGGAAGCAGGCGGAGACGGGACAAAGAAGGAGACGGGTTCACGGAGCTTTCTCAAAATAATCTTTCCACGGCTGGATACGCGGAACTCGGTGCGTCGCGTCTGCAAAAAGCAGAGCCTGGCTTCGTCTAAACTCCGACGAATAACCCTGCACGTTACCGTAATTCTCTGTTGATAAACACGGAGAGAGCCGCATTTCGGTTGGCTGGCAGCCTGCCATATTCTACTACGAACCGTCTGACTATGTTCGCGTTACGGCCGCCTAAAACACGTCGCTGGAAATACATATTCGTCTGCATGCATAATACGTTCCGGCGTGAACGAGCCACGATGCTGGATACAATACTGTTCGCCGTTTCAAAGCGAAACGGTGTCTGTGAAAATGTGCGGCTACAGCTTTCTTCTCTATTCGTTCAAAACGTTTTCAATACCCAAACCATTTCAGCTCTGCCTATTGCTGATATAAGAACGCACGATTATTAATAATTAGGAGTTTTCATTTTTTAATACAGAGATCGTCTTTTAATTCAGAAATGTCGAAGACAAATTATCATGTTGTTACCATTACAATTTTCGATTCTGTTAATTTCTTTATTTGTCGAACAACGAAGATAATTTCCGGATAAGTTTGCACACCTTCGGTGTGTCGATATTCATCAGATGCCCAATAATAACAGAATGCTTTGGATTCCTTGTCTGAGCATAGAGCAAGACAATGCAAATAATTTTACGTAACGAGCTAATTCGTCTCGTACGCGTGAAGCATTTTCCTTTCAGTTAGAGCCAGAACAATACAAACGAAGACAAAAGATCGTAGAGTAAACGTATTATCGGATTCCAGCTTACTTCCACTCGACCGACGAGTTAACTCATCTTTGGTAGTTAACGGATTAACTGTGTTTTCTTAGTCGAAAAGTAAGCAAGGTAACAATAAAATCAGCTCGTCGTTAATCCAACGTTCACCGAGGCAACTTCGTCGCGGAACTTCTGGAGGAATTCATCTTCGTGAGTGCACGGCCGAGGTAGGGAGAGAAAAAAGAAGTTGCGACCCATTTTCCCCGTGTTTTAAATATCCCTATCTCTTATACGTTTACGCTGCGGTTTCAATATTCATCAGAATCGCGTATCCATCGTTTCGTTCTTTATCCTCGAGGGATCTCGTCTATTCCGTAACACCTGGAACTTCGAGAAACCTGGCCCAATTCGATTTCCGACCCGAGAGCAACGTCGTCCTGATTCTTGAAACTTGACGACCTGTTCCTACTACCTGACGTTTGTCTCTTATCAATTACACGCGGCAAGTTCGCTTCCGATTATAAACTCTGCAACTCCCTAGAGTCCCTTGAAATTCTCAAACATTCCTTCAGGATTCCCTGAGGTCTTACAGTTCTCTGAGACCACTCATAATTGCCTACGGTCCCTTGGATCTGTTAAAAAAAATCTTTTTGCAAACCGTGGTTCAGATAACTTAATTACCATAACTTCGGCGTCGTAGATAATAACTAAGAGACTAAGGATCCAAACTCCCCGGGGTCTTTAATGTTCGAAGTAACTCGAGGAACACTGTAACCGTTGAAGACGATGATCTGGTCTCGCGGTTACTCCGTTCAGCCACGTCGTTAGTCTTCGATTAATTGTTTAAACTCAATATCGTTAATGGAACGCCAGGATGCTCGGGAAATTTTAGGTCATGTCCCCTTAGGAAACTGCAGCTTCTATTCGGTGCTACTTCTCTTCGTTTGACAAACCGTACGAGATATTAGACGTCTGTTCCGAATCGAAACTCGTAGTTATTTCACGGTGCTCGATGCGTTCCTCGTTTACGCTATGAATCAATGTTATCCGCGTAGAGCTATCGGAGATTCGCGTAAGGCGAAACGCGACGAATTTTACGCTCCGAAGATGAAGATAGTGCACGAGCCCGGCAACGCAGTGTCACGTTCAGTGTCACTTTATCTTTGCGAGGAGGAAACCGTGTCTGGAGTGATTTCCGTGGCCTCCGCACTCCGATGTCACGTTCCAGGTATTCGCGTTCCGCTGTCGCGAACTGCTGATCAACGTCAACAGCGTCGCCTTTAATTTTCACCATCAAAGAGGCAGACTCCTCGAAAGATCGCTATTGCGAACCGAAAGCTATTGCTGACTACTCCGGTACCGACTGTCCATCTACGGTCTGATCTTTTCTTGCTGATGTCGATGTATCACCTTGTAATCTTGAAATAAACATACGATGCTTCGTGGAAAAAAACAAGTTTGACGAATGACCTTTAGTCGAAAAATAATGTGACAGACTCGAGCGAGATTTTCTCGTTGTCAAATCTCTTCTTCGTCCTCTTCGATATTTGTGAAATCGATTTTTATAAAAATGCTTTGGTTTTTATTTTGTGATAGCTTTGCATAATATATTTCCAGCTTTTTTCTGTCGAAAAAAGTAGCTAATTTTAGTCCCAGCACATTGTATAAGTTGGTTCGTCGACAGGAGGCGCCATCTGCTTCGATTATTTCGAGATACTTGAAGAAAAGGCGCACAAAGTTGCCGAGGAGATTGTAAATCGAATTTATTTAGCGGTCGTTTCCTTCGGAGACGTTAATGTTATTGCTTTTATCGTGGCGATCGTAGCTGCTGACCCTGCTATACATTATATTTACGCTCCACGAAGGAGTTTCTAATATCTCCGAGTGCTTTTGTCCGAGATAATGTATCCTTACTCGATATTCACCGGCTTGTAAATTTCCCTGGGTGAAAGTGTCTGTAGACTTTTCTTGCTCGTGATATTATGCACACGAACTAGGAAGTTGCTTGTCTCTTTTCTTTTGATTCAGTACTTTCTTTAGAATTATTTTTTCAGTTAGAGGCGTTTTATTGCTACATGTTGCGATGTGACCAAAAATTAGTTTTAGTTTATTCGAAAGGTACAGATCGATAAGGGTTCCAGTAGACATTTGTAAGAGAACGAAAATCAGTTTTGGAGCGAAGGATCGACCGGTTTCCGATCGTTTTCGAGAGAGGAGATGGCGGAGTCTGGGCGCGTCGGAAAACGGTCGGAAAAATCTGAGCTCTGTACGTGCCAGTTTAGAAGCCATCGGGGGCTAACACGAAGCGGTTGTACAGGTTACGCGTTGCATAATATATTTTCAGAAGGGTCGTTTAAGATGCCTCGGGGATGCGCATCAACCCCTGTCGGCAGGGTTTCATCGACCAATCGGTGTCGGGGTGGAGCTTAAGCCGCGCCACGGCGTCAGCAGCTCTTCTCTTTCGCGAAGGCCTTCCTCTGTTTCACCTACATTTACGCCTCTTGTCTTCTATCCCCTTTTTGTACCTGTTCTATATACGGTTCAGAGGCTTTTCCAAGGCCCTCGTCGATGTCACTGCTGCTGCCGTCGATCGTAATCACCGATAACGTTCGATCAAGGGTTGCCACCCTTGTCGAATCGCGTGTACTCGCGTGTCGCCCGTTCGTTCGTTCGTTGTACCCGGATTAATTAATTGCATCTGGTCTAATTTCGATCGAATTTCTGTTCACAGATTCGCCGGTGAACGGGACCCAACTGGAACATCAACATCTCGTCCCGAAATCACCCAGCGAATGTGAGTAATCGAAACGAAACTAATTTCACGTTTTATTCGATCAACGTATCGAATCGCGTCACGTTAAATTCTGTCTAAAATATATTTTCAAATTGTTAATTTATGTATTTAAATCGGTAATTTCTGCATGCTAATTCGGCTATTTAAATTGTTAATTTATGCACGCTGATTTATGTATTTAAATTGCTAATTTGGGTACGGTAATTTGTGGCAAGAAATCGTAGGAAAATTGTTAAGAATCTATCCATGATTTTTATATTACGAGACTGGTTGAACGGCTTCGTCGAAAAGACCTCGTGAACTTTCTCGTTTTCAAGCTTTTCTTTCGCGCCTCATTGTCGAGACGAGTTTTAAAGAAACTCTTTCAGCCGCACGAACGGCAACCAACGATCGATCGACGAGAGAACAGAGGGATTCGTTATCTGCTCTCGTAGATGTAGACATTCGAGGGTCGCGGTGTATTCTTTTTTATTGTTTCTTAGATCTGGGATGCAGGGGATGTAGGGACATTGGGAATCTGGGGATACAATTGAACCGTCAAAGTGCCCGAGGGTACGAATTATCGAGAGAAGAATACCACCTTTAAAATATACCTTTAAAATATGTCCGTCATCCGTAAAAGGAAGCGTACCGTGTTAGACAGAAAACCCGAAGAGAATTTGCTGTTCGAAAAACCGCGGAAAAAGAAGCGAAATTCCGGGCTGCGAGTAAGACTCCTAAAGAGGACATTAATCACGGAGATCTTTTCCGCAAAGAGCATGTTACTCGGGGAAATATAATTTCTAAAGAGTGTACCAACGATCGAAACTCTCTCGAAAAGGGGAACATACCATTCTAGAAACATCTAACCCACTCTTCCGTTGAAATTCCACAAGAAATGGTATCTGCGACGTCACTCGCAGCGTTGGCAACAAAGGAAAGCGAATTAAAGGAACGTCGTTCCCTTTTGGTAGCGGTTCGAAACGGTGACTGCATCGGGAAAGAGACAAAAAGATTAACGGGCCGCGATACGATGTTTCACGCAGAGGGCGTCCTTTTTCTACTTTTCAGTTTTTTCTCTCCAATTTCGAAAGTTTCGACAAAAGGGGGTTAAGAACGACACAGGATCCACGGCTTCGTGACTTCCGGGTTGCAGGAGCCGCCTCTGACCCGAATCGGCGATTGTTGCTCGGCCGCGAGCGATAAATTCGCCGGTTATATGGGGCGTCGGAGCTGGCTTGAACAGGGGGTGGCCCACAGGGTGGCCCCGGGGGTTGGAGCAGGGAATGTCTCCTCGACCCAGTTCCCAACGGTCGCAGATTATACGCACCCGATACGTGCAGTTTGCAACCCTGTGTCGAGTGCCTAAATCGTGGCCCTCTTCCTCGACCCTCCGATAACGAGTTGCCACCCCCTTCCTCCGACGGAAACGCCACCCTCTTCAAACCTTTCGATCCGTAGTTCGTTTGCTCAACCGATACCCGAGCTGTCCTCCTCTTTCGCATATTCGATAAGCTCCTCTCTTTTCGAGACCAACAACCTTTTATCTTTTTTACCCGAAATACTCGGTTGTCGATACGGGCGATGTACAGTTTTATAAAAAGTATGACTCGTAAAAATAATCTCGCTTTGTTGCATTTTGACGCGATACAGTATTCGTTTTGCAATGGCAATTTTCATGATAGCAAAATAAACTATTACTCGAACAATATTGTAATATTATTGCGCTACGGTTCGTATAACAATATTGATTAGGCTCTTAAGAGCAGGAAACTATAGGTTATAACGCGATGGGTTAATCAATTTACGAAGATCGAACGCGATATCGATGCATTGTTCGTCGCATCGGATACCTTGCAGTTTCCCTCGCATCGCGTCGTAGTCGTTTCGTTCGACAACGGCGCGTAATTTATATAATTACGCGAACACCAATTCCCCCAATTACCGGCAATAACGTCGTTCAAACAGAAACTCGATAGAATTATCGATTCGCGGAGAAAGGGGTTTGGCAAGTGCGTCGAGATCGGTTTCCCGACAACGTTGGAACTCGCCCACCGCTAATAATTCCTAATCATTCCCGTAAATAATTCTCTGTCATCCTTCTCGTACGACCGTTAATCTTCCGCGAACGGTCCTCGAATCGATTAATTTAACTTCCTTTGACGCTTTAATTACCCTTTGCACGGATTAAGGCCAAGAACTCGCGAAAAATATTTGATAATTTCGCGTAAGAACCTTCAACTTGGTACTTACGGAATAGTTGGGAATCTTTTTACGTGTTCGAGCTCGTTCCCGTCTTTAAGTGGATTTTTTCCTACTTTCTTCGGACATTATGGAAAGACATTACGCTAAGCTCTGCTTCGACTTTTGACATTACTCGCTGCTCGAAAGTCGTTCAGCAACGAATAAAACGATATCCTCTCGCTCCGTTCGATTTAGTCGGTTAAACAAAGCTCGACGATCCTACGTTTATTTATTCATGGGTAATCGAAATGTTGGCGGTATATCGGCGGTTGACAAAAACCGTGTACGAAGTTATCGAGATTCGTAGGGTCGAGAGAGTCGGAGCAATCGATAGGCCGTCTCTCGACTCGCAGCGAAAGCAAAGTAATCAATAGGATTCCAACGGTGCATTCCGCATTCCTCGATTCGACTAAGTCGTTTATATCACATCTGACGACGAGTTGCAGATTCCTGTCTTGCCAGTTTAGCTCCGACTGTGAAGAGGGCTTCGTCCGCCACGGACTCTGCCTACCGAAATAAGCTCGTTATCGAATTAACCTAATCAAATTTCAAGCACGCCATCGTTACTTGATAATTGCGACACGGATTCACCTCTTATCTTCCTCATCTCCCAACCGAATTTCGCATGTAAATAAACAAAAATTTAGAATTAGAATTTCAACTTTACTTATTTATAAGATTTATGTATTGTGGGATAGCTATTGTGGGGTAGGGCTTTAAGGGCGATCCGATACTGGCGTCTCAAGATTAGAATCGTTCGATAATAATAATATTTCTCATTAATCCTTTGCACTCGAAGGTAATTTCACTGTTTACAAACAGTTAAAAAGTTAAATAAATTTTCTTGAGGTTATTTCTTTACTAATAATTTCCACTATTGCTTGTTTCACTATGTTTATAGAATCAGTTAAAAAATGCTTATTTAAAATTATTGTATTAAATATAATGGTGACTGTGAGTCACCTCTCGAGCGCAAAGTCGTAATCGCGTTTTATAAATTAAGTAAACATTCTTTACAATATTCGAATTTTTTCCGTTCAAGTTCGTCCATTAAGACGAATAGGATCGATAAATTAGACGATATCTCGTCGTCTTATCGATTCACGGCAAGTGTCAAGGCCACCTTCGATAATCGTTTAACATTATGCAGACAGCTGCGTGGGTGTATGCTCTAACGCGTGAAGCGCGTAATCTCGCACGTGCGGTGTTTACGGTAATTAAATGCAGAAAACTATAACTGGTGAGCGATTGGCATAATTGTGGAAAATTCATAAGTCAGAAATGTTTCGTTATCTTGTTCGTTAACGCGGCTAGTAACGATGGAAATGAACGCGTGTTGCGGGTCTAATTAAATTAGGCTTGTTTGTTCCTCCGCATTCCGTATTAATATAATAATATCTATTTTACACATTAGCATACTGCGAGCATTCTCTACGTTTTCCGTTTCCGTGCTCAATTATCTATGGTGAAATATTTGAAGGAACCCGGGAAGATTATTTTAATATTCCGAAGCTTCTCGGATTTTAATTAACAAAAAAAGGAGACGCAGAATACGGTGCATTATCGACAGAATATACTGGAAAATCGATGTTTTAATCTGACAGAATGCGAGTTTAATACAGCTCTCAAGCTCCACTCCCGAAGGAAACACGTATCAGACTGCAATAAATAAGGATCTTACGCGTCTCGAACATTTTTCCTATGAAACTCTTGTACTGCTTACAGTCGACGTTCTCCGATAATACTCAAGAACAGAATTTCCTCTCTGTACTTACATTCGTGCGTTATTCGAGGACATTTAATATCCTCTGTCGGAACACGACAGAATATTTCATCCCTCCATTATTTCTCCGGCGAATCGGGCAAAAAGTAGAGCGACGAAAAAACGAGAAAAGAGGAGATAAAAAATAATGTATGGCTATTATTTCGCATCGAGATATCCATCCGTAATCGCGTTTTATAAATTAAGTAAACATTCTTTACAATATTCGAATTTTTTCCGTTCAAGTTCGTCCATTAAGACGAATAGGATCGATAAATTAGACGATATCTCGTCGTCTTATCGATTCACGGCAAGTGTCAAGGCCACCTTCGATAATCGTTTAACATTATGCAGACAGCTGCGTGGGTGTATGCTCTAACGCGTGAAGCGCGTAATCTCGCACGTGCGGTGTTTACGGTAATTAAATGCAGAAAACTATAACTGGTGAGCGATTGGCATAATTGTGGAAAATTCATAAGTCAGAAATGTTTCGTTATCTTGTTCGTTAACGCGGCTAGTAACGATGGAAATGAACGCGTGTTGCGGGTCTAATTAAATTAGGCTTGTTTGTTCCTCCGCATTCCGTATTAATATAATAATATCTATTTTACACATTAGCATACTGCGAGCATTCTCTACGTTTTCCGTTTCCGTGCTCAATTATCTATGGTGAAATATTTGAAGGAACCCGGGAAGATTATTTTAATATTCCGAAGCTTCTCGGATTTTAATTAACAAAAAAAGGAGACGCAGAATACGGTGCATTATCGACAGAATATACTGGAAAATCGATGTTTTAATCTGACAGAATGCGAGTTTAATACAGCTCTCAAGCTCCACTCCCGAAGGAAACACGTATCAGACTGCAATAAATAAGGATCTTACGCGTCTCGAACATTTTTCCTATGAAACTCTTGTACTGCTTACAGTCGACGTTCTCCGATAATACTCAAGAACAGAATTTCCTCTCTGTACTTACATTCGTGCGTTATTCGAGGACATTTAATATCCTCTG